TGGAATAACATTCACTTGCCAAGGATCTGAGCCCGAAGGTTCTTCAAAAATAGATGGCTGGTTTAATATTCCTACTAGAATCACCCTTGCCAATGTTTCTCCAGAACCCGAGGCACTACATGCTAGCCGATCGGCATCCTCGTTATGCTCTCTCGGTATTTGAATGAATTCAATTTTTTCAAAATTTTTGGCTTCCCACACAACAGCAGAATGATATGCTTCTATCGTTTCATCTTTGGTTTCATACTCGCCATTCACCTGTCGAACAATTAATTGCGAATCACTAAAAACAGTCAAATTCCTGACCTTCATCTCCTTGGCAAGCTTAAGTCCTGCCAGCAGTGCTTCATACTCCGCTTCATTGTTGGTAGCTCTGAATTCAAGCCGGAGCGCTTGACTTAAGGACGTACCTTCTGGCGTCTGCAGTTTGATCCCAATGCCTGCACCCATCTGATTTGAGGATCCATCAACAAAGAGTTTCCACAAGTAACCATGAAGGTCTTCCTCCATGTCCTCTGAATCACACTCTAGTAAAAAATCTGCCACCGCTTGCCCTTTGACTGCCGTTCTGGGTTCGTATGTGATATCAAATGAGCTTAACTCTATGGCCCACTTCGTCATCCTTCCTTAGAAGTCTGGTTTGTGCAGGATTATTCTGATAGGGAAAGTGGTTAGAACGATGATAGGATGGGGTTCAAAATAATGCCTGAGCTTTCTTTTTGCATGCACTAGCGAGAGTATCACCCGCTCCGCCTTTGAATAACGTCGTTCGGCCTCAGTCATTGTCTTGCTAACATAGAACACTGGATATTGCTTCCCCCCTACACAGCGGATCAAAACGCCACTTGTCGCGATGCTGGATACTCCGAGATATAAAAATAGTTTTTCGCCTGGTTCTAGAGCTGACAGGACCGGAAAGTTCTGCATATACTCTTTCAGAGCAGTTAATGCTAGGCGTTGTTCATCCCCCCAAACTTGCCTGCCATGGCTTCGTATTGTGTCAAAAAATGGTTTGCAGCAATCTGACAATTTGGAAATGAACCGACTCAATGCAGCAATCCGTCCCGTAAGTGTTTGCACTTCTTTGACTGTCGTCGGCTCGGCATTCTTAGTCAGAGCTTCTGCTTGGGCAGGGCTTGCCTCTATACCTCTATGATTAACCACGTGTCCCAGGAATTAGCCAGAACTTACACCGAATGAGCACTTGGTTGGATTGAGCTTCATTTCATATTGCCTCAACACATCAAATACGTCTCGTAGATGTTTCGGATGGTCAACTTTCTTCTTACTTTTTACCACCATGTCATCAATGTAAGCTTCCACGGTCTTCCCTATTTGGCCCTTGAAAATTTTGCTAATAAGTCTTTGATAAGTTGTTCCGGCGTTCTTCAGTCCGAATGGCATGACTTTGTAGCAATACGTCCCGCGTTCGGTAACGAAAGAAGTTTTCTCTTCATCAGCAGAATCCATGGGGATCTGATTGTAACCTGAATAAGCATCTAAAAAGGTTAAACACTCATACCCAGTAGTAGCATCCACCATTTGATCAATTTTCGGCAGCGGAAAGCTATCCTTCGGACAGGCTTTGTTCAAATTGGTGAAATCAATGCATACTCGCCATTTCCCATTCTTCTTCTGCACCACAACAACGTTTGACAACCAGTCAGGATAATACACTTCTCTCACAAATCCCGCATCAAGCAACCTGTTAACCTCCTCGGCAATGATCCGGTTGCGCTCGGGAGCAAACCGTCGCTGCTTCCGCTTTACAGGTCTTGCATTGGGATTAACGTTCAAGGAGTGACAGGATACAGAATGATCAATCCCAGGCATGTCTAGTTGGCTCCATGCAAATACGTCGGCGTTTTGAGACAAGAAATTAACTAACTCCTGTTTCTCCTCCACGGCGAGTCGTTCCCCCACTCTGGTTGTTCGTTCCGGTCGGAACCGATCGATCTGCACATCAACCAGGGGTTCTTCGGTCAAGTCCACTGGCTCCTCCTCCCCACTCTGCTTGGAGGGAGGCTCCTGTAACTGTTATCTCGGGTTTGCTGAACAGATGGGAGCTTTCCCTTTTTCAGCATACTTTAGCGTTACTGAATAACATTCCTTAGCTGCAACCTGGTCCCCATGAATGTCAATCACCTTGGTTCCGTCTGGCCCCAGGCATCTCATTACTTGATGCAGAGTGGAAGGAACACCTTGAACTCTGTGGATCCACCCTCTGCCCATCAGAAGGTTGTAAGAGGGATGAATCTCGACAACCACAAAGGTCTCTATCAAAACCCTTTCCGCAGCGTGTACTGCTACCTCCACCGTACCAATGGGCTCCACTCGTTTTCCATCAAACCCTAGCAAAGGATTCCCAGTGGATTTGAGCCGGTCCGACTTGATCTCGAGCTGATCAAATGTGTCCCTCGACATGACGTTCGCACTACTTCCAGGATCAACCAGAACTCTGCGTACCAAACATTCGGCTACCGTCAAACTGACAACCAACGGGTCCTCATGAGGGATCTGAACACGCAATAAATCTGTTCTGTCAAACTTTATCTGTGTTGATGCGCTATGTTGGTGCAGAGAGTTTACACTGCCTATCTTCCTCTTCATCCGTGCCTGGCGAAGGCGTGTTCGAAGCAGTTCATCTGACTCCTCAGTAGGCTCAGGCCGGCCGTGAATTGCATTGATTATTCGAACTGGTTGCGTATTGTGAGAGTTCGACTTCTGACTCCTCGTCAGGTGCTCCATCGGTCGGTTCTGTTCCACCGCCGGACCTTGAATATAACTTGCGAACTCCCCTCTGGCTATCAGCTTCTTTACCTGTCTCCTTAAGTTCCTGCATTCATTAGTCTGATGGCCAAAGTCAGAATGAAATGCACAATGCTTAGACTGATCCCTCTGTTTGAGGGGTTGTCTGATTGGTAAAAGAGATCGGAACTTATCTTTATTTTCTTGGTACAGCCTTGCTAAGGTAACTTTCAATGGAGTAACCAACTCTTCCTCCCTGGGCCTCTTCTCAGATTTCCACGAGGGCTGACACTGTGGCTGAACCTGCTTTTGTCTGATCTTTGCTTTGGTTTTTTCCTCTGTTGATATGACAGATGTCTTCCGAGCGTTAGCCACCTCTTCTTCTTCCAAGCGCACAAATCCATCAGCTCTTTCATTAAGTTCATCCATAGTCTTCAGCGTATTCACTACCAAACTTGTGTGGAATGGAGTGCCACGAGTCATGGCCAGTATAAATGCTTGAACCGCCGTAGAAGGATGACATTCAATCACCATACTCTTAGTAAGGTTAAACCTGGTCAGGAAAGCTTGGAGACGCTCATCGTCATGCTACTTCATTGTGAATAGGCTCGAAATGTCCTTTGTTGGACGCTTATTTCCATAATATTGGCTTATGAACCGATAGCACAAGCTTCGGAAACTATCCACTGAGCCCCTCGGCAGGTTCTTGAACCAATTGAGCGCTAGTCCAGCTAGACTTGTAGGGAAGCACTTGCACATCAATGAATCATTCTCAGTGTTCAGAGCCATTTTCAACTGGATATGATACACATGATCAATCGGATCGGTCGTTCCGTCGAACAGGATGAAAACGGGCATGGAAAATTTCCTCGGACTCGGAGCATTCAGAATTTCATCGGTGAATGGTGAATCAACTGTTCGAGCTACTGAACGGAGGGCTTCATTTTCCCTCTGGAACCCTGCGATTGCTCTCTGATCTACAGATCTCCTCTCTGAGCTGCGATAGTCGAACGTCGCCACGGAAGGCCGATAAGTCGGATCGAATGATCTTTCCTCAACAAACTCTTTGTGCCACGGCGGTATAGCTTTGTGACGATCAAACTCCATTGCTTCTCTTCGGTTGGGCGTTTCTTGATATGGATCGAAAGTCATGGCTTCGTTTCGCCTGATCTGTTCACGCCGTGGATCCACATGAGTTAATCCTTCACGATCATCAACGCGACTAGGATTTGGCGGCAAATCGTTTGGCCGGACCTCCTCGCGGTGAAGATCTGTCTGATTGTTCCCTACCTCCTCGCCATAATGTGCCGCATCGGTACGTGCAACTTCTTCTCCTACCGGGAGCGGTCGCGGAATCACCGGAACTTCTTGACGCTGTATTTCAGTCCTTAGATCTGCATTCTCTCTCCGGAGAGCTTCGATCATGCTCATCAACTCATCAAGTTTCATTTGCTGGACGTTCTCTACCGTATTGGAGTTCTCACCCCCTATCATGATTCCGGAGCGAAGCAAAGGCATGAATTACGAATTCCTAACCAGATCTGAGCGTCACCGATGTGAATTCCGTCAGATCTGGACTCAACTTCACCGAATCATGGTCACCGTTTGCTAGATCTGAGCTTTTCTAGCTTTGAACTCACCGGATCTAACTGTAATTGAACAAATCAGAGTTGCATAATTCCGAAGCAAATGCCTAAAAATCAACAATAAGCAAGAATCTTCTCTGAACAAAATACAATCTCACTAATCTGGATTCAACTTCCAGAAATCAAACTTTGTGCTCACGAATTTGCTTGAATTAACATGATATTGATCAAGCTCGAATCGATCTTCTTCGTCGTTCCCACAGACGGCGCCAATTGAAGATGCAAAGATTTTTCTATCTTTCTTTTTACAGAATCTTATTACATTTTCAATAATCAAAAATCCATCCCCTATTTCATTCTCTTCACTGCCCTTTTATAGGCAACTACCAATGCTGCTGGTCTATCTCTTTTGGGCCTTCTTTCCAATGGGCTCGGTCCTCTTCAGTGGATCCTCCAAGCTCGGCCCATTCCGTGGTGCTTTTGTATGGGCTATACTTCAATTGTTTGCCCCGATCCCATGCCAGCGAGCTATAACCGGCCCATATCACTTATTGTATCCTCACCTATTAGGCAGATCTTATAGATGTAACATATTCTGTAAGATGCCGAATTATGCCCATGCAAGGGAAGCAAATGCCATAAGAGTAAAGACCCAGGCAAACTTACTTGCAAAATCAAATCCTTAGCGAGCAAATAATAAGGCATTTCACCATCCAGTACAAATCTCAGAGTTGGAGGCACCTGAAGTTTAAAGATATAAGGAGATTGAAAGTATTAAAAGCAAGCAGTACCAGAGGATTAAACAATGTCTAAAAACTAACAGATAAACACACACCCTTGACAAAAGTTGTCAAGCACACAAATTTAATTGAAATTACCAAAGCATAATGCAGTGAAGTCTTTACAGTAGTTATTCTAGTTATGTCTACAAATATCAGTCTTGTGTTGGGATTTAAAGATTAAATTCTTCAGACTTAAAAAGGCAATACCATGACCGTGCAATTGTAATTTTGGTTTCTTAAGAAACTTGTGGCCAGACAAGAAACAATCTCTCCATTAAAGACTTAGTCACGGGCATTTAAATGGTTAACTCGCACTACCATAATAGTGAAAGCTAGAATACTATGACACATGAATCCATACTATTTTGAAATTCAAAACTTCAAAACGGCAAAAGAAGGCTTAAGAAAACTCAGAGATTAATCTCAGAAACCAAAGGAAAGAAGTAACTGTACTGCAAATTTAGTGTAAACTGGTTAAATAGGTCTTCTCCTTTTTACAAAGCTATTTCACTTATCTGGATCTCATTTGGAGTACTTGTGTGGAATGGAACACATCATTTCAACTGTGTTCAGCAGAAACTTTTCTCTTTACGTAAGGTAATAATAAATCCTGAATACAACAAATTCATGATTTGGATTAATTCACCCACCCAACATCCCTCCAGGGCAAAAAAAAAAAACAAAGAAGAAGTTAATTACAATCCCATAGATTTATAAAGCTTTTACATCCAATCGGGTAGGTATCAACTTTCCTTCCAAATCTTCAAGGAAAGGTAGTGATTAGTGAATTAAAACACTCGGATAATAAAAATGCATGCAAACACGCTACTTCTAAAACCTGAGATCCAGACGAAATCATCTTCATGTAATAAATGACAACAAAAAATCCAAGGAGAATGTCAAGTTTAGGTACTAGCAGGAAATTTGCAAATTAAGTCGTATACTAAGAATGTTAATAACTGGAAGACTAAAGTAAGCATCGTGAAGAAATATTAGGCGAAAGCACCTAAGTATTCAAAACAAAAATAATTATTTCACTAAATCATAAAGTAAGAGGGAATACCAAAGCATTCATTTGGGTAATTCAATCCACGTATAATTCACTGGACAAAAAGAAAATGTGACATAATCGCTTATTAAAAATATTATAAGATATTTAAAAACCTTAAGCAAAAGCTTTCCAGTCCCCAAAACAAAGCCTGCATCTGTATTTCCAATCCCAGTGGCAAACTGACCAAATGCTCCTGCAGTACATGTGTGGGAGTCTGTACCTAGAAGGACCTAAAGGCGATAATTGACAAGGGCTCGACAGTTAATATAGACATGAAAGTGTAAAATGTGCATAACTTTTAATAATCGAGAAATGTGCATAATTTTAATAATTGAACATTGATATTATAAAAAATATGGATAGATAGATAGAGAGCACCTCTCCAGGCCTGCAATGACCTTCTTGGGCAAGAGCAACATGGCATACACCTTTATAATCTGGATTAGCCTGTAGAGTCATTAAATGAATTTTATTTTCCATTTACACAGGCATGGAAAGGACAATAACCAGTTTAGCATATATATTAACAGTTGGCATCTCAAAAGACTGGAAAGTTATACCTTGAAATTCCCAATATCCTTAATATCATAGAAGTACTTAATATTTTGCTCAGTGCAGAACTCCCTTAAGATATCCACATTACGATTTGCTCTCTCATCATTTGTGAATATATAGTGGTCAGGTATAACGACAATCTTTTCACGGTCCCAAACCTGCAATGTTGAAGAGAAAGAAAGCACAAAAATTAGACATTTTTTTAGAAAAATAAATAAAAATTTGGAGAAGAATGAAGGAAAAAAAAAAAAGACACAAGAAAACTGTCATAAATTAGGAACTGCATAAGTTCTAAATTCAAGGCAAAGCTAGCATGGATGTAATATCGAAGAAAATGACGTGAAAATGAAACAATGAAATATAACATCTCATTCCAAATAAAATAAATAACAATAACGTGGTTATAAAAAGAAATCAATGTTTTTAAGTGTTTGTTTGACAACATGATGTAACTTATAAGCATATCGCCGATTCACTGCCTTTATAATGAGTAGAATATGTTGGATTTAATAGTTGATAATTTCAATCACTAATTTTATATTCAAGGTGATGGAGGCCTTGACTTTTAAGCCTCCGAGAGTTGAATGGACGTCATGGACTCAACTCAAGTAAAGTTTCATAATGGTCGGATAATTATTTTGAATACAACTAGCTTAAGTTCAGTACATGCTTTTAAGTTCGAAACTTTGACAGATATTGTCTCGGTTTATCATTTTAAACGAAAAAATTGAAAACGAATCCATTAAGCTTTTTAAAAGTTGACATTATCATGCATCTTATTTGACAAAAGGATGCTTAAGGATTTCAATGGAAACCTCAAATCACTTTTCATTATATGATTATGCGGATGCATTCTTGTTCATCACAACACTTCATGTGTCTTCCAATTGCATCCCAATACTTTATTTTCTTTTTCTTTTCTAATTTTTTTCCTTTTCCGTTGATGGTGATGATGTTGGGGCTCTTAGAACGCCAAAATGGTCCACCACTGGACATGCAATCCCCCATCCCAACAATTACTGAAAGATTCCGATCTTTCAATCTCCAAGACGGGAAGTGAGACGTCATTAGGATATTCTTTTGGAATTACTTGATTTTAACAAATCAGTGATATAACAAGTTATCAATACGCCTGGTCAGATTCGGACCGGATCAGGTTTGATCCCATTCGAATCTAGTAAGGGGCATAGAGGATCCTATACGATCCGATGACTCCTTCCAATTTGTAAATAAATTGAGACAAAATAGACTCATGTACAATAAATTGAGACAAAATAGACAGATTGACGAAGAAGACCAAAAAATAATTTAATAATTAATAATTTGTAAATACTATATATTATGACATTAGTAATAATATATTATATATTATATTATATTGAATTGAATTATTATCGGACCAGATCAATCACAATTCATATTGGATACAATTCATTTTTTATTTGTTTAGTTAACAGATTATTGAATTAAATGTTCCGATCCATGTCTGAGTTGTCTGATAATCCGCTTAAATGATAATTTGAGTTTAGAAATCAAAATATAGAGGTGCATTTTATATATATACCTTTGCGTTGTGACCAAACTCTCTCTCGAAAATTCCAAACGAGCCAGGGCCAGAAATATCATGGGTCATCAAGAGATCAACATTGACCCAAACATTATCACCAGGGCTCAACTGATGTTTCTCAGAAGCCCTAGCCAATATCTTCTCGGTCATCGTCATCGCAGTCTTGACCTAAACAAAATCAAAGCAAAAAAACCCATCATCAAAATAAACCAAGTGATCAGACCCTCACGGGAAATACACAAATCAATTTAATGAAACCCAACTGAACCAGTGGTGGAGGGCTTGCGCTCAGATTGCTGTGGTGCCATAACAGAAACAATTTTCCGGGAAACGCTTTTCCTGGAATTCTGAATACCAAACGAGGGTTGTGAAGAGAAAGCAGAGAGACCCACATCTTTCTGAACCCAACAAAGGAAAATAATAGCAATAGTTAATGAAAAAGAGAGAAATAAGATATGGGTCAGTGAGATTTTCCTGGGAAAAATGAAAGATATGGTGAGATGTTGATAACTGTACCTTATTGATGATAGTTGTAGATGTTGATGAAGCCATTGATGGACTTGAAAGTGGCATGTTTCTGGTTAATTCTCCGCAAATGAAGGCCCAATTGTCCTATGCGAAGAGTGTGTTTTACACAGCAGCCATACACAGAAGACTTTGACCCAATTGTCCTATGCGAAGAGTGTGTTTTACACAGCAGCCATACACAGAAGACTTTGGCAAGTCCAATCACGACTACTTGTTGTCATGCATGGACAGTATCATCATTTTTTTTTCATTGTGGGGGCAGAAAGAAGACTGCGGCAGATTGTGATTCAGCCTGGCCATGGCAACTGTCGAAAAGGACAAAATACAAGAAGTAAAAAAAATAAAAATAAAAAAGGGCAAATTGTATGAAAACATCCACCCTCTAGTTTCAATTTTTGGCAAAAAAATTTCCTGGAATTTTGGTTGTTGCAATACTGCCCCAGTGGGAAAAAACCCTTTTCTGAGGCGAAATTGCCCATCCCAAACATTTGATTTTTTTTTTTTTCTTCTTAATAATTGAAAAAATGTTACTTTAAACTATATACATATATATTATTTTTTATAGAAAAAAAAATAAACTTCTAGACATGATGCATTTGAAGAGCTTTTTTTTTTTTTTTTTTTTTTTTTTTTTTTTTTTTTTTTTTGCCTTTTTCTTAAGGGGTTGTCCTTAAAAATTAAAGGTCTTAGAAACTTTCACATAATCACATTTATAATCTAAAACATTTTTGGAAATTACTTTGAAAAACTTTAAATGGTTGGGAGGGGCAATTTCGTTTTTCCGACTGAGGGACAACTAAAATTTGTAGAGAGTTTTATGCTAATTTTTTTTTTTCAGCATAATTTTTTACCAAAAATTAAAGCTAAAAGGGGTTTTATGCCATTTGCTCTTAGAGTAAAGAGATAATCCAATCTCTCTTATATGATCCCAAACATGAGGCTTGCCAATAAAATTAGGAGAGACAAAGAATGACTATATTTTATTTAATTTTTGGGACCAAAGTCCTAGAAATGTATGAGATGGGCTAAGTTTGAGAAAAAATTTCAACCGATATAAACAATTTATGCTGCGATACTCGCGCATAAGACAACATCCTTTATTTACAAAATTTTATCCTGCTCGTCCCGGCACAGTACTCTTTGAAGTTGAAAATTGCCTAGGGTCCATTTAATAACGTTGGTTTTTTTTTTTTCTTTTGCAGTCTTACAAAAGTAGAAACATTATTTTACTTTTTTGAATGAAAATAGAAAGCATAAATGATGTTTATTAATACTTGTTGTCATAAATTTTAAAATATAAACAATAACAATGTTTAGTAATAAACACATATATATTTGTTACAAAATATACATAATATTCTTTAATTTTTTTATTTTATTTTTTAATTTTTTCATAACAAGAATTTTAGGAGTTTGTGATTAGAAGTGAGGAAAAGGATAGATGGCTTGAACACAAACTCTTAGACACAAGAAACAACCCACGACACTTGTTTCCATTAGTATTAAAAAGCCATAAATCTATAAAATCTAATTTAAAATTATAAATGTATTTATACATGTATTTATGTATATAAATACATGTATATGTATACTGTATACATTTATTATGTGATATGTAATATATCTTATATGTGATAAAATATATATTGTGTTATAATATTGTAAATTAATTATAATTTAATATTTACATATAATATAATATATATATGATATATGATAATATAAAATTTCTACAGCTTAGTAATTTAATAACATTATATTCTATATCAAAAATTATTTTGTCACAAAAAATAATTTACATTATTATTTAATATATTATATATTAAAATATATTTTTATCAAATAAAAATTAATATACAATATTTAATATATTCTATGTTATATATATTAACATTTAATATGTAACTTTGTCTATGACACGGATAATATGAATTTTATTTGAAATGAATAGTGTCTGTTTAGTAACATTAGTGAAAACGTTTCTGCACTACAATGCCGAAAGCATAAGAAAACATCATTTTTATGTTTCCTCCTTTCTTTCTTAACAAAAATTGAAAATGTTTTATGTTATAGGAAAACAAAAATATTTTATTAAAAATGATTTTTGTTTTCGTTTTACTTTTTTAGAGGTTGATAACAAAAAATAAAAAACGTTTCTTGTTACTTAACGCAATGCTAGTTGGGCTACTTGGTGCTTCACTTATAATAAATAATAAATAAATGAGTAATGATACTCATTCCAATTTGGACAGCAAAAATTTAGTAATGTCACATAATCAGTTCAAAAGCTGTTTGTTCCTCATAAATTCATCCCAATTTTTTTTTATGTTTGGTAGGGTGGGTTTGAAGGAGATGGATAATATTAGTTATAAGGAAAAGGGAAGGGAAGGGAAGATAATTTTAATTTTGTATTGTGTTTAACAAAAGAAAAGAAAGGGAAGGATAATAATCATGTTTGGAAAAAGGAAGGGAAAGAAAGGAAAGAGAATTATTTTAATAAATTTACTATTATACCCTTTATACTTTAAAAGATATATATATATATATATATAGTCTCCTATAGCCACAAGAAAATAAAAGAAAAAACAGGGCAAATCATTTCAGCCTCATATCAGCTCCATCTTTATTATAGGGCAAATCATTTCAGCCTCCCCAATCTCGCCTCCAGGATCCATCTCTATTCTCGTTCTCAACTCTGAACTTGCCCTCTCTCTCTCTGTGCAGAAGTTCAAAACCCATATCTGTCTGCAAGAATCAAAAGTTCAAAACCCAATTCGGGTTCCATCACCGCTGTTCAAAAAATTTCAGATTGTTCAGAAAATCAAAACCCATATTTTTCAGTTTCCATAGCCGTTGTTCCAGTTCGGGTTCGCAGTTCTCAAGCTTCAATCACCGGCCCACCACCTCTCACTCTCTTTGCAACTGCAAACTTATGTAATCTTTAGGGTAAAATTGGTATCACAGCTCTTCCATCAGCCATTGCCTTCACTTTCCTTTCATTTTCTATTATTTTTGGGAGGATAAGAAAAACACTGTTGAAGTTTTCACATAACCTTTCAAACCCTTCCATTTTTTTCCAATAATTTTTACCAAACACAAATTTTTAATCCCCCTACAACACCTTCCTTTCTCTTTCCACCCTTTTCCATTGCACAGACCCTTAAGAGTTGTAGTATCCAAATACCCCCCTCTGTCTCTATCTATGCATTTCTATCTCTATCCTCTTCCTTCTTTCCTTTCCACCCGCCTCTCTCTCTCTCTCTCTCTCTCTCTATATATTATCCATCTCACTTCCCCTTTCGTCTGTTTCTGTCACCCACCTCTAGAAGGGATTGAGGTGGTGAAAATATGTTGAACTGTCTCTAACAATAGGAAGAGATTTATTCCACGATTAGGTGAAACAAAATTAATTTATGCTATGTTGAATGTTTTTGATGGGTATATTGATCTAGACATGCTTTCATCAAGAACTTCAACTAGAGTCTATATCCATGGGGGAAAACATAGCATACAGAGTGATGATAGAATCTAAAATCTGTAAAGAAAAGGTACAAAGAAACCCTAGAAACGGAGTTGAGGGATTGTCTGAAGAATTGATTGGAAATCCTAATTAATTTAGGAAATCTTATAGAGAGATATTTCAAATAAAAAAAAAAAAAAGGAAAATAAAAAATAAAAAAATTGGGTAATGGAGATTTTAGATTTTTCATGCGTAAATATGGAACTTGCATGACGTGGCATTGCCACGTTAGATTCGGACAGAATTTCGGCCTTTTTGTTTAAGAGTATCGTTATTCTAAATATATAGGTTGCATGATGTGTGATTATTATGTTAATTATAATTCTCTATTTAACTTTAATTCTTTGACTGATGGTATCAATGTGAGTTGCAATTCCTAAACTTTTATATAAAAGGTCTTCGTGTGAGAAAGTTGGTTAAAAAAAATATAAGTTAAATTACAAGGACTTCTGTCATAATTATATAGACATTCCCAATAATTTTAAAAATTATTTAAAATTTTCCTAAAAAAAAACTTTATAACAGTTACCCGTTACTGACCAAGGTAACCGATTGTTATGATTTTACTTAAATACCATCATACAGTAACGTTAACTATAGAATATCTTTGAACTAATCCTTACTCACCCCTTAATCTACCATCTTACCCATATATATATATATACACACACACACAAGAGATTGCACGAGAACCCAAATTACTGGTGAGATTGAAGACTTGGAAGTTGTCGATGACCACCTCTCCCATGGAACATTGAGTGCCTCACTTTCTCCTCCAACTCTTCCAAGTATTGTACTCAACTTGTTCCTATTGTTGATGCCCTCAAAATCTTTTATTGACATCATCTCATTTCTTGACGCATAACAAAAAATTGCGATACAATTTGATCCGGCGGGGTTTAAGATTTTCAAAATTTTGAAGGTAACTTTCAAATGCAAACCCCCTTATACTTAAGGTCTTTTTAAATATAAGCCTATGTTCTAAATTGGAGCCCTTTCAAATTGGAAGCCCTAAACAGTTGACCACGTAGACCTAGTGCTGGTGGAGCTTGGGCTTATCGGAAAACCATTTTTTTAAGTCTTATTGAAATTACCTCTCGTGAGTTAATGACTATAACTTTGGATATCAGAATTCATCAGACAAAGATAAATTTAGTATCTACATGCATATATATATATATATATATATATATGTGCAAATATTAATCTATTTTTGTATGGATTTCTAATCTTTTTCATAGCCTAGTTATTTCGCAAGGCACTATGGTGGCAGTGGACCTATAAAGATGGTGGTGATGGCACCAAATGGCAAATTGATGCATTTGGTATTGATTGTTGCTACGTGTGCATGATTAGTTTGATGGATTATAATTTTAATAATTATTCCGACGTCTATTTATGCATGAATTTATTATAAATATGATTTTAAAGAAAATTTTGAAGAGTGGGGAGGAAAATAAGTATTCATATATTTATATTGAGATTAAGCTCAGTTTGTTCTCTTTTCTTTTTAATTAACTATTATTCACAGAGATTAAAATGAAGTTATTTATATATATGTGCATGATATATAAATTATAGATGGATTTAAAGAGATTTTTGAAGAGTGGGAAGGAAAATAAATACATACATAACTCCATTTCAATCTCTTCAAAAATAAAATTTGGTAATTAATCATTTAAAGTTGTACGAGGTCAATGATTTTTTATCATTGACTGATGTTGACTTTTAAATTAGGACTGCAACTCGGGTGGGTTGGGCGGGCTTGGCACTCATCTCTGGCTAGGCCCATATAGAAAAATCTTCAGCCCAGCCCAAGCCCGCCTTAAGCCCAAGCCAAGTTGCCCAAGCCCAGCCCATACATAATTTGTCCAGCTCGAGCACGCACTGAGCCCACCTCAGAAGAATTTGTGTATAAAAAAATAAATCAATTAATATTGCACCTAAGCATAAATCCCAAGTACACTACCAACTTAGCTACCACACTCTTGTAACTTAAGTAAAATTATAAATATATATAATATTTTCGGATTCGGGTTGGGTTTCGGGCTTCATCCATATCAATCAAAGCCCAATTCTAATTGAATTCGGGCTCAGAATATATAGCTTAAGTCTAAACTGAAATTAGAAAAACATTGCCCAAGCCCACAAAAATTCGGGTTGGGCTCGGGTTATTTTAGGTTGGGTCAGCTCGAGTTGCAGACCTACTTTAAATGGAGGTTAGTGTAATTTTTGAAACTATACGAGAGATTCGTGTAGTTATGGCAAACTTCAAGGGAGTTCTTGTAATTTATCCAAAATATATATTATCTTTTTTATTTTATACATTTATGCTTTATTATATATATTTTTTAACACCTCTGTACTTTATTCTATAATAAGAAAGATGTGTGGAAAGGAAATAAAATATAATAGAAGGGACGTGTCATCCTTCATTCTTTACAAATTTTCATCTGTAAAAAAATGTACCGAATAAAGAGGGGAAAAAAATGGACTATTATATTAAATTGAAATTAAATAATATTATTTAATTATATAAAATTTAAATTATAGTATTATCCTTTACCAATTACAATATTATTGATATTAGTAGACATAATAGTAAAAATAATTTAAAACTTTATCTTCTATTTTGTTATAAGTAATATAATAAATTGTGTATTTATTATGTTCAATGGTCAAACCAAACAAAAACAAGGAAAGTCACGATCTATTCCTTAGGATCTCATCCACTCTTTATTTTCTTTCCATTCAATTACATATACACACTATTTTTCAGAATTTAAGTTTTGAACAACTTTGACACAAGAAAATTTATGGGAAAAAATAAGAATAAAATTTGTACACAAAACTAGTACCACATGTCATCTCAGAGCAATGATGTAAATTGTTTATTATGTTTGGCTAATTAAAAAATAAATAAAAAGAAATGCCATATACTCTCTTTGTCCCATTTTAAATATTACCTTAGAGAATTATGACATTTAAAATAGGATGGAGGTAGAATATAAAAAGATAAATAAAATATTTGTTCTTAAATTTACTATCACATCCTTTCATAAAATTTGTATTTTTTTAAAATATGAAAAAAATTAGTATTAATAAAATTTCATTAAAAGTGTTACATTTTTCATCAATTATTCAATTTTAAATGTATCCCTCCAAAGCATTAACCCTTCATTTTTTTTTCTTCCAAAATTTTATATCAAATATAAAAAAATACCACATCCCTCCATTTTCCATGGTTTTTTTTCCCCTTCCATCTATTTTCAACAAAGTGGACCTTATTGTCATCAATTGTTTAATTATACACACACACACACACACACACACACACACACACATATATTTATATTCACCCGCTTGTATACACGCACCATGTTTTGATTTCATGCATAATTTTATTTCTATAGACATTTAAAAAAGAAAAAAGAAAAAGTTGGAGTGTATCCCTGTCCGAACAACACAGAACATAATTATCATACTTCCAATAATTTCTGTAGTGTTTCCGCAATGCCCAAAAAGAACATCTATCAAGAAAACCTCTCACCTTCTCTCTCTGGCGGGAAGAACAAACCCGGCTTTAGAAATCCCTAAAAATCGATTCATTCTTCCCATTTTTCAAAACTAAAATCTGCACCCATTACCATGTACTGGCTAACAGCGAAGTCCGTAGTAGTTTCGCTTCCCCGGTGGCGTCCTCTCGCTCTCTTGCTTCGTTCCCCTCTCAGTGGCCGTTATTTTCTTTCCTCTTCTCACTCACTGTAATCTCTCTATCTCTCTATAATTTACACACAAAAAACACACAGTATCTTTTTCTTACTCACCTCGCCATTTCGCACAGAATGATTTTTACTTTACTGGGTCTTAAAAGAAAACCCAAAATTGTTTGGTCTTTTGGAAAACTGGGTTTTCTATTTCAAACCAAACAAACAATTAACCCAGTATTTCACCCACAAGTTATCATATTGTTATTCCCTTTTAATGGAATGAGTTTCAATAGAACACACTATTAGATAACCCATATGTGTTTGGTGTTTTTATTTATTTTTGATAACCCATATGTGTTTGGTGTTACTTATTGCTATTCTGCTTCTTGTATGCATTTGTTTATGGAATGTGAAGGAAATAGGGAGACACCGAGAATCATTTTCATCTCATTATTAATATTTTTTCGTTCTCTTGAAGACCCGTATGGAGGGTTATTTTTGTTTTATGGTTATTATAATTATTATGTTGTCATTTCAATTATTGTCATATTTGATTTTTGATACTGCCTTAGTCGACTTCACATCTAATTTTGAACTCTTGTATATGTTAATGGGCATTAGCGGACGTTGGGAACCAATTCGTTGCTTCAAAGACCAGAAGGCTCCTAAAGGAACCACAAAAATGACCAAGAAACTCAAAGAACCGAACAATGTCCTTTACGATAAGGATCATTCTCACATTACATGGTGGAAGGAGGTGTTATATAAGCTACAATATTTAAGTTATGCACTATGATTGGGGAACTTATTTTCTTATATTTTTCTTGTAAAATCATGTGATGCCGTGGCTTCATATTGCAGAGGCTGCAGTTGTGTAGAAAGCCTTCTACTGTCCAGCTAATTAAAAGGTTGACATATTCGAATTTGCTAGGGTTGGATGTTAACTTGAAAAATGGGAGGTGAGTTTTTTTTATGATGTTTAGCAGCAAGCTCGCCTTCTCAAGAGCTTCGCTTTCATTGAGGCATGTTAGATCTTCATAAATAAGAATCAGACTTTTCTCATTGCCTCGTATGGTCTCCTATCCGCTTTTGTTGAGGGAATTTATTTTTCTCTTGGTCGGTAGGAAACAAACACACTTGGAGAGTGCAGTACAACGGAGAGTTGTATGCTGCGTTTGGGAAGGATAAATCGCTCCTGAAAAGGAATCTATTGATTATCTCCCAATTGGGTGGACAGTACTGTACTTTTGCAACTTAAATATAGCACAGGTTGCCACTATATTCTTATGTGGTGTGATAAAGAAGCAAATTTCTTGATGACAGCAATAAATACTTAGGTTTGAGTTACCTATTTGAATATATTCAATATCTGAATAATGCAATAAACTTAAATTCCCTTCCCCTATTATTTTCTCCATGATGATTAACTCACATATTTAATTACTATCAGTAGTTTAGAATAAGAAAGAAATCATTAGTGCATTTTGACTGATATGTTTGGTCAACCATATTTTCCCCCTGCATTTATGCTCACAATAACTTCTTGTTTTTTAATGGACAATGTAATTATTTAGAAAAGGGACTGCAAATTTTTGTTGAAGATGACAGAGTTTGCTGATTAAGTGTCTAATTGGTGCCATAGGTAGTACTTTTTCATCAGGAGTTTGCTCTATTGATGTGATTTATTTATTTATTGATAAGTCTATTGATGTGATTTTATCTGTTGAAATTCCATTTATTGTAAGAATTTTTATTACCTCAAGGAAGAGTTTCTGATAGGCTGCCACTAGTGCCAAAGCGGCATTAGGTATTGTCAAAACAAGTGCTTCTGTGGACAGTTGTTTCAAGTTTTGACTGCCTCCACAGCTACATTGCTTTGCAGAGCTAATTCTGCTTTAGCAATTTTGACACCCATTTTGATTTAGATAGAGTTTTCTTTGCTTACCTTATTGAGCAGGAGTGGATCAATATATTCTTTATGAATATTACGAAAAATGTGAAGCCAGTGTTTAATCAATTAAACCACATAATAAATTTCTGTAGGAATACCAGAGTTATTAATTTCTTTCTCTCTCTTTACGTAAAATAATCTAAAAAGCATCCATTTAGATAGTTTTTTCTTTTTACTCAAATGAATGCATTAACGGTTGTCTTCAATGTAGTTTAAAAGAAGGAACACTTAACTGGGAGATGTTGCAGTTCAAGTCAAGATTTCCTCGTGAAGTTTTGCTGTGTAGAGTATGTTATTGTCATTTCCATTTATTCCTATTCTTGTTTAAAGGCTCTCTCTATACTTGGGTCCATCATTAAAGGGCTTGTGCCTTTTGTTTCCACTATAAAACTATGGTTTGTCAAGAGGCGTCACAGGTTTATTGTCATTACAGGTTGGAGATTTTTACGAGGCCATTGGAATTGATGCATGTTTTCTTGTTGAATATGCTGGTTTGAATCCATTTGGTGGTTTGCGTTCAGACAGTATTCCAAGAGCTGGCTGTCCTGTCGTGGTATGTTTATCTCCTGGTGCATCTTTAAATTTGGTTTCTTTGTGCTCAAAGAATTTCATATCTTAAGATTTATATGGCATACCATCTGAATCCACCAAATTTTTTTTTTCTTTGATAAGTAAAATGTATTAGAAAGAGTTCAAAGGGGGAATGCGTCCCAAGCTGCAGGAACCTATGAACTCAAAGAGCCCAAAAGGTCCACAATATCCTCAAGAGAAGAATAATCTCTCCCCCAACCCCAACAAAAAAGAGTTCTAATAATAGAAAATTTCAGCACCCCAATGGAGGACTCCTTCCCATCAAAAGATCTTCTATTCCGCTCTTTCCAAAGGCTCCACCAAACGCAAAAAGGGGTCACCCTCCAGAAGTCTCTCGCCTGAGCCCTCACCCATTGGCCCTTCCAAATATCCAACAATTCCAGAGAAGGCGTGACCCAATGAATACCAAACAAACCAAAAATGAGACTCCAATAGTCATGGGCCACAGGACAATGCAGCAGAAGGTGGTCCACTGACTCCCCATTAAACTTACAAATACAACACTGATTAACAATGATATGTCTTCTCTTCCTCAAGTTGTCCAAAGTCAGAATCTTACTCCAAGCTGCAGTCCACACAAAAAAGGCCACCCTAAGAGGCGCCTTAGATAGCCACACCGTCTTCCACCAATTTTTTACTATTTTAAAGTATAAAGATCATCTCATATGAAAATGAGCTGTCCAAAACCATCCGTTTATACCATTGTACTTGTGTATTTGATTTCAACATTTGATGTCATGTTCAAAAGATTTTCTTTGGCCAAGGTTAAGAGATAGAAATTGATTTATCTTTTGCATTGGATTAGTGGACTGCCAAAAAGATTTGGTGGTTTAGGTTACCTGCAATGTGGCATCTAAACAAGGTCGCGGTCATAGAGGTCTCCATGAGTGTATTTACTTTTAGCTTTGAATTGGTATAATTTTTCAGCCCCGAAAATGTTAGATTATGGGATAGGTTGATTACTTATTAGATTGTTAGTACTTTGTTATGACTTGTGAGATTCCTTTTGGGGTTCCAGGCTCACTATCCCCTCTTTTCTCTATTAACTAAGTTTTGCTTATAGGGAAAAAATTCAATAGAAGCAGGTGTCTTAATGGGTGGAAATTTAAACTTGGTTCCGGAGGGAAGAATGCTGCATTTGGATTGATTATTTAGTTGAGTTATTTTTCCACATAAAATGCAGCTGATTGAAATCGTGGGAGGATTTCTAGTAGGCAGATTTCTGTTTAAAATTTTACATTGTCAACTATTTTACAAAATAGACTATCTCTTTTGCACAAGAGCATTTTAAGTATGATTTCTCCACATGAGATGACAACACAGATCAGTTCGATGTCTTTTAAAATTATAACTTCCTTTTTTGATGTTTGCATTCTCATTTCTTGAAGTCCTTATGGCAGAGTTTCATAAGATAAAACGAGCTGAAGGATTTCAGGATAATTTTTTATGTTGATGTCTCTGTGGAACTAATGGCGCGGTCTTTAAGGCATCAGTTACTTGTTACTCGTTGGGCAAGAAGCATTTATTTTAATAACATTGTTGGACACTGGTGGTGTAGAGAATAATATTTCCATAAAGCTGAAATTTTGTGGGAATCTTTTAAAGCTGAAATTTTGGCAGAACTTCAGGGATTTATAGAGTGCAAAATTAGATAAATATCATATATCATAAAGGCTATTTTGTTATAAATTGGGGTAGCAATGAGTTCTAAACTTATGTTTTCTTCATATTTTATTTTTAGATTCGAATATTGCATCCCTTTTTAGCTTCTTCTTCAAGTGGTTTTCTAGATCTGTTTTTTTCTTTTTAAAGTTGATTTGTTGGAGTAAAGTGGTCTCTCTCTCTCTCTCTCTCTCTCTGTTTTGGTTGGGCGTTATATTCTTGAGTAGATGATCAGCATCAGTTTTTTATTTGATGCATATAACATCATTCACCCTATTTTTATTATTCATTTTTATTTTTATCCACCCCGTCCTTTGAGGAGATCTTGTTCAAGAAATTCCTCGTGAAATTTTAAGTTTGAACTCAACCTCAATAAGCTCACATTACTTCTGTTATTATTGATGACATATTTCATGAATCTTTTTGACTGTTGATGCTTTATTTGTGTTTTATTAATGCTACTTTGCAGAATCTACGACAGACTTTGGATGACCTGACACGTAATGGGTATTCAGTTGTGAGTACAATGACTTCTGATTCTGCTAGTATTAGTTTTCAACAATATATATACTTGGATGTCATATTTCTTTTGTCTATATCCATGAGTTCTTGTTATTTTTCATTGTTAGATAGGATAATAGGATAAAATTCTAAAATAAAATCATGTTCATCTCACATTCAAGACAGTGTCAAAATCTGCACCATTTTATTTTTTCTTTTATTTTCGTAAATGACTTGTGTATTTTCATGAATGACTCCTGAACTGTAATCACACCATCACTGGAGAACTGAATAGTTTCTTTGAAATCTGCAATTCTCTGTTTTTTGTTCATTATTGTGATTGAACTTCAGTTTTTCATTCATTTGAATTTACAATTTCTTGGTTTCTAGGCAGTTTGAAATTCCAGCTGTTCTAAGAACCGAATAGTTCCTTTGAAACTGCGATTCTCTGTTGTATATTCATCATTTGTATTTGAACCTTAAGGTTTTTCTTTAGTGGATTTTGCAATTTTTTTCGAGTCTACTCAAATTTCCTGCTGTTTTTGTTTTTGGATGAATATTTTGCTGGTAGCTGACAATAATTTCAATACCATTCTGCAACAGTCATGATTATGTTAGTTGGAGAGATATAAGGTATTAGTTGTGGATGGTAACAAAGAAATAGGCTTCAGTAGAAATATAAAAAGAAGAGAAAAGAGAGAATTGCGTAAAGGCTTGAATGAGATGAATTACTTATTCACAGCTCTAGTATTTATAGATAAAATGAGCACATGCTCACATTACAAGAAAGGAAACTAAATCAAATCAAAATCAAATCACAACTTATTCTAAAGCATATTCTATGGCATATTCTATAGCATAGTCAAATCTCTGCTATTTTGGTAAGTTATACCATAAATCGTGGTATCATAAATGTTAACACTCCCCCTCAAGTTGGTGCGTGGATATCTGAAACGCCCAACTTGGACAATGCATTCTCAAACACAATCTTGCTGACGCCCTTGGTAAGAATGTTTGCAAGCTGCTGAGAGCTTGTGACAAATGGAGTGTAAATTTGACCAGAGATGATCTTCTCTCGAATGAAGTAACGGTCCACCTCTATATGCTTAGTCCTGTCATGCTGTACGGGATTTGCTGCTATGCTAATGGCAGACTTGTTGTCGCAGTAGAGTGAGAATGGAAGCGACACTGGAAGGCACAAGTCTGTCATCAAGGTTTTCAGCCAAAGCAACTCACCTCCTCAAGAGCCATAGCCCTATACTTTGCCTCTGCACTAGATCGAGAGACAACATCCTGCTTCTTACTGCGCCAAGTAACCAAGTTACCCCCAATAGTGGTACAATAACCTGAAGTAGACCTCCTATCTGAAATTGATCCTGCATAATCAGCATCTGTCCAAGCCTCAACACATAATTGACCATGATTAACAAACAAAATACCACGGCCTGGACACCCTTTTAAGTAGCGAAGAATCCGAATAGCTGCATCAAGATGTGGGGCACGAGGAGAGTGCATGAATTGACTCACGACACTCACGGCATAAGCAATGTCAGGTCGAGTCATGGATAAATAGATGAGCTTCCCCACAAGTCGTTGATACTGACCAATATCTGACAACAACTCCCCCTCAGAATCAGCCAACCGATGATTCTGCTCAATCGGAGTATCAGCAGGATGAGTGCCAAGCTGACCAGAAGTAGAAAGCAAATCAAGAACATACTTGCGTTGAGAGATGAAAATGCCAGTCTTGGAGCGAGCCACCTCAATGCTCAAGAAGTACCGTAGGGGACCAAGATCCTTAATCTCAAACTGACGGCCAAGATAGCTCTTAACCTCATTAATTCCGGTAGTATCATCGCCGGTAAGAATAATATCATCGACATACACAATGAGAGCAACTGTCTTACCACCTGAATGACGTAAAAACAAGGTATGATCAACTGCACTTTGATGGAAACCAAACTTGAGCATAGCAGTGCCAAAGCGATCAGACCAAGCTCGAGGAGACTGCTTGAGGCCATATAGAGAACGACGAAAACGACATACCATACCAGAATGAGCAGGAGAACGAAAGCCCGGAGGAGGAACCATGTACACCTCCTCCTGCAAATCACCATTAAGAAAGGCATTCTTGACATCTAATTGAAATAGAGGCCAAGATCAAATTGCAGCAACGGAAAATAATACACGGATGGTATTCATCTTGGCAACAGGGGCAAAAGTCTCTTGATAATCTATGCCATAAGTCTGAGCATAATCCTTGGCAACCAATCGGGCCTTGTAACGAGCAACTGACCTATCTGGATTATGCTTGACTGTAAACACCCAACGACAACCCACAGCCTTTCGTCCAATAGGAAGCAGAACCATGTCCCAAGTCTGATTTTTCTCAAGTGCTTGTAGTTCTTCTGTCATAGCATCGCGCCATTGAGGTTGTGCTAGTGCATCTGCAACACTGGAAGGAACAGGAACCGAGGCAACAGAAACAAGAAAACTCCGATAGGAGGGTGAGAGAGCATAATCAGAAACAAAATTAGAAATAGGGTAAGTACAAGAACGTTTATCCTTTCGAAGAGCAATGGGGCGATCATCAAGCGAAACAATAGCTTGAGAAGGCGGAGCTGGTGTCGAAGGAACAGGGCAGTCGATCGTGGGAGTAGAAGCTTGTACCTGTTGTCTCCGACTATAAACCTGTGAAAAGGAACAATTCCCCCTGCTGGAGGGGTATTACGAGGAGGAATTATAGAAGAAGAAACGGGTAATGGTAGAGGAGTTGAAGACGGAAGAAGGTGATCATCCATTATATTCAATGGGAACCATTCACTCTGAGAACCAATTGAACCATTATAGTATGGTGTATGCTCAAAGAAAGAAACATCCATGCATATAAACCGCCGATGACTGGGAGGATGGTAACATCTATAACCTTTTTGAGAGTGAGAATAACCCAAAAACACACACGTCAAAGCCTTGGGGTCAAGCTTTGTACGAGTTTGTCCCAACTGCTGAACAAAGCACACACACCCAAAGACTCGTGGAGGAATCAAAAATAGAGATGAATTGGGATGTAAGATTGGGAGTGGGGTTGCAAAGTTAAGAATCCTAGAAGGAGTCTTATTAATGATGTAAATAGCGGTAAGAACTGCATCTCCCCAAAATGACTGGGGAACATTCATGCCAATGCATATTGCTCTGGCTAAGTCAATGATGTGGCGATTCTTTCTCTCAGAACGACCATTCTGTTGAGGAGTTTTAACATTAGCCAGCTGATGCGCAATCCCAAATTCTGTACATAACCATTGTACCTCCCCATAAGTGTACTCTATACCCTGGTCAGATCGGAATTTTTTAATGGTACGACCATATTGAGTCTAAACCATTGTCATAAAATTTTTAAAAATGGTGTATACCTCATTTTTGATTTTCATAAGATAAACCCAAGTAACACGACTATGATCATCAATGAACAACACGAAATATCGAAATCCAAGACTAGAAGTAACTGGGCAAGGACCCCACACATCTGAATGAACAAGATCAAAAGGTGTTAAAGCAGATTTATTACTACTAGCGGGATAATTGGAACGAATATGTTTAGCCATATGACATGTTTCACAGGATAAATCTGACACTGCCACGTTACAAAATAAGGAAGGAAATAAATGTTTCAAATAACCAAAAGAAATATGTCCTAAACGCATGTGCCAACGCATAAGCTGGGCTTTATTAGATGAAACAATATTAGAAAATGAAACTGAATGTGCTTGAGGTGACAAATGAGCATCTAACAGGTATAAACCGTCCACTTCACGCCCACTGCGAATCGTCTGTTTCGACACCAGATCCTGAAAAATACAATGAGAGGGAGAACGTTACACTACAATTTAATTGTTTGGTAACGCTACTAACAAAAATAAGATTTGTAGTCAACTTTGGAACATGAAGTGTATTTGACAAAGTTAATGAAGGAGTAACTAATATGTGACCCTTCCCAGCAATGGAAGATGGAGAACCATCCGCAAGGCGGACCTTGCGTTGGCCAGAGCAGATACTATAAGATTGGAAGAGTGAGGACATACCAGTTATATTGTCTGAAGCACTAGAATCAATGATCCATGGTGTTGAAGATGTAGATACGCTATGTGCAGACGCAATAGTACCTGAGTGGGCATAAGTGGAGGTTGGCTGAGATGATGCCTCCATTTGGTTGAAGAATTGCTTGAACTTGTCCAAATCAGCTTGAATCAAGGTAACTGTGGCAGAAGATGTAGAGGCAGGGTTGTCAGGAGTTGACAACGAGACTGGTTGTGTAACAGAATGTGCACAGGATCGAGGCTGTTGTTTCTGTTGCGGTGGACGTCCATGTAGAGCATAACAACGAGATTTGATGTGACCAATTTTTCCGCAATGGTCACACCGTCCACGTTGTCGTCCCAGAGGAACTGACTGGGATGGTGAAGTTCCTGAAAGGTTGGGAATCCGAACTGCCATAGCAAAACAATCAACAGAAACAACACCTAATGGATGAGTCTGGCGGCTCTCATCTGACAACACATAGGAATATGCATCCTCAAGAGTAGGGAATGAAGATAAGCCCAATAAATGAACACGAGCATACTCAAACTCATCGTTCAACCTGGCAAGAAACTGAAACACTCGATTCTTCTCTACAATTCCTGCATATAAAACTGCATCATCTGGATCCTTCCAAGAGTGGAAGGAATCATAATATGACATCTCCTCCCAAATAGCACGAAGCTTGGCGATGTAACCTGAAACTGTCAAGTCACCCTGAGAAATCCTGGTGATATCTCGCCCCAGCTGGAAAATTCGTGCATTATTTTGCCTCTGAGAATAAGTGCGTTGAACTGAATCCCAAATCTGCTTAGCAGTCTTCATAAACATATAGCCAACAGCTATGTTTGGTTGCATCGAATTGACTAGCCAAGACATAACCATAGCGTTATCTGCAAACCACCGTGGATATGCCTTCTCTGACTAAGCTAGCTCTTTCTCAGAACCAGTAATATAGCCAATCTTGCCTTTGCCACCAATGAACATCTTGGCAGACTGTGCCCAAATCAAATAGTCGGAACCATCCAACTTCATCGTGGTGATTTGAAGTCCTGGATTTTCTGATGAGTTGGTGGGAAAATGGCACCACCACCCATAGAACGTGAGCCAAGAGAATTAACAGTCGAGGACCCTGAATCTGCCATAATCTGTCACACGACAATAAAAAGAACTCAAAAAACACCACAAATTCTGTTAATAAATCAAAGGGTCTCCTCAGACCATAAACAATGTCTCCTCAGACCATTTCTGAAAAATCCAAATACATACCTTTTTTAAGGAGCGCTGTCCGCTTACATATAGCCAGACAGCCTCCTTCTTAATATTCGGAACCTCTTTGTAAACTAATATTTTTTTTACCCAGGCCCTTCTAGGTGTTGGAAACCAACTATCCCAATTTACCCAACCCTAGAAGAGTGAAAAAGAAATTGTAAAACTTAAAAATACCTGTTTTCGATCACAAAACAGCAACACAGAAAAACATGTGTAGGCAACGTCACACGATGTCACAAACAGCCTAAGGTAGCTGTCGCACAAGTAGCAAGGCTGCTGAAAGGTGTGGAAAGGTGTTGGCTCTGATACCAAGTAGAAATATAAAAAGAAGAGAAAAGAGAGACTTGCGTAAAGGCTTGAATGAGATGAATTACTCATTCACAGCTCTAGTATTTATAGATAAAATGAGCACATGCTCATTTTACAAGAAAGGAAACTAAATCAAATCAAAATCAAATCACAACTTATTCTAAAGCATATTCTATGGCATATTCTATAGTATAGTCAAATCTCTGCTATTATGGTAAGTTATACCATAAATCGTGGTATCATAAATGCTAACAGCTTCAGAATTCAAAGCATTTCTTCTTTGATTGGGCCTCTAGAAATATTTGGTGTTATTTCTTCAATAGTCATCTAGTGTTTTATTTTTCATTTTTATTATTTATCTCTTGTTTGTCGGAGTATTTGAATCATAAATGGATATTTCTAGTCATTTAGATTTATTTGTATCTCTTGTTTGTCTGATAATTTGAATGCTAAATCGATATTTCTCCTTGTATTGAAGGTGATGCTTATGTTTAAACTGTCTTTTCTGTAAGGGAGTGAATATTTTCAACTTTCTCATCATCCTTTTCGTGGGTGAAGCAAAGATCTCTTAAGGCCTCTTTAATTTTGTTATAACTAAAAGGATAGTCATTAAATTTCCACGTATGCCTTACTTTACGTAATGACCCAAATCAAGAAATCATCATTGGAAGATGACATGTTTTCTTTAAGGCAATTTTTTTTTTTCGAAATTTGTTACTACCCTTGTGGAAATCTCTCATTGTTTGATAATTTCTAAATATTCTTGAATATTATGTATATTTCAAATCCTTGACATTCATTTATAATTTCTGTGGCCATTCCAAGTAATTCTGGAAGGACAATGCTTGCTTAAAAAAATTAATGTTGAATAACTCCTCTATTATTTGTGCCTAAAAAAAATTGTTGCTTTAACCTTACATTTCTAAATTTCTTCATTCTGGAATGCTAACATGGATATGTCAGAACTCTCCATTTCTGGTTATCTACTTTGTTGAACTTATAGAAAAAGAATTTTACTGAAGTTATTCAGTTTTGTCTTTCTAGTGCATAGTGGAGGAAGTTCAAGCTCCAACTCAAGCCCGTTCTCGCAAAAGTCGTTTCATATCTGGGTAATCACATGCTAAGAACTTAGTTATGCAAACATTATTTCTGAATTGCTACGTGGTACCTATTTTTCTTTGCTGTTTGTGTTGTTGGAACACTTGACATTTGACAAAGTAACAAAAATTCAGTCAGATTTCTCAAGTATATGTATTTGCATGTATGATTTTCATTTACCTTTAAAGTTGTTCTCTGTAATAAGTTTTAGCTCAAATTATTGATAAATCAAACTATGCTAGTAGTTCAACCAAGCGAATAGGTTCATCAGTTAGAAGGTGTGTCTTCTTACTTACGCTAAAAGAGATATCATTAAATGAACTCGACTTTATCGTTTTCTATTTTCAATTTCTATTTTTTTAATCTACTCTTTCAAATTAACATGTAGACTTAAGATCAGCCGTAGATGATATAAAATCAACTTTCTTGGTTTACATCTTAACTGTTCACCGTCTCATTGTCTTTTTAACGGATTAACAGTGACGCAGCGGATCAATGATAGCAATTAAAATAATTAAGAATAGCAACGTATTCAACACTCAAATCCACCAGAAGAGGTTCAGAGAAGCTATCAATTTTTTGATATTGATAAAATAGATAACTGATCCCTAAACTATTACAATAGCATGTATTTATAAGCCTAAGTACCCTAAACTATTAAAGTCAACAACATAGGCATTATCATTGACACGCTTCAAAATCGCACATGGCCCAATTTTCTTCATCTTCAATTTATTATAAGTTCCTACCGGAAACCTATCTTTTTGAAGATGCACCATAACCATATCTCCGACTTTAAACACCTTCTCATGCCATGCTCATCTATAGCAGCCTTATGCTTAGCATTGGATTCTTCCCACTTCTGCTTCGCTTCGGCATGCGCATCAATAATATGGTCTGCCGTACTACTCGCAGCAGCACTCATCCCTGGCAGCTTTGGTAACGGAACAAGGTCAAGAGTATGAGATGGTACACGTCGATAAACAATCTGAAATGGAAACTAGAAAACACTCTAGAAAAAACTGTTCACGCGCTGTTCACATGTACTACATCAAACAGGTTCAGCTGTCTTCACTAATTTTCTGTACTCTGATTTCTGAGACAATAGAGTAGCAGTTCGATCAGAATATGGTATAAAAGTTAATGGTGTGTGTAAATAAATTAAATAATTTAGCATTTGTAATTATAATAAAAAATAAATACTTATAGTACTTTTAAATGTGTGTTCTAAAATTATTCTTTTAGAATCCAGCAACCTACCAGGTGATGCTTTGAGTGTTTCAGTATTCAGCTTCTGCCCGTGTCTTAGAAAACTATATAGCTTAAGCTACTACTCATCTCAATGAAACCTTTTGCAAACTATTTCCATTAGGTGATTGATTTTGTTTGGCCATTATGCTTTAGTCAGGTCTACAATTCCTTTGGTGGTTGTGTTGGGGGGGGGGGGGGGGTTGTTGTGGGGTTTGGGTGGTTGTCAACTGTGCCATAACTCCAATTAAATCCAGGTGACCATGAAAAATGCTATAGCATTTGCTTGAATATTCTCCGGATTCTGGTTGTCAGCTGCCTAAAGCAACCCTCTCCTTCTTCCCTTCTTTGGATCTTCTTTGTTAATTATACAAACTACCTGTCCTTTTTATAGGTTTTGGACTTTATACAGTGGAAGTATGTCCATAAAATGTTCCCTTCTTTGGTCTTTAACTGTTTAAAAGCAAGTATATCAATAATTTTAAAAACAGTGGAAGTGTGTCCATACCTTGTTGGACAGTTCAAATGAAATTGTCATGATTTTCTTCTTATCTGTATGTATTTCTAGAAGGTAATCTCATAAATTTGGGGCATTGGATTTCATTATGCATGTACTATGATTTGATAATGTTTGATGAGTTAGTTTCTGGTCTTTTCTTCTGCTTACATATGTAACATGAACTTCTTGCTAACTGTTTTAAGTATTTACTATTTAGGCATGCTCATCCAGGAAATCCTTATGTTTTTGGACTCGTTGGGGTTGATCATGATCTTGATTTTCCAGAACCAATGCCCATAGTTGGTACGAACAAATTAGACCCTTTTATACAAAATAGTTGGTTTTAGTAGATTTTATGCTATTTTGATTTTTTTAGTAGTCTTTGAGCTTTCCTGAATTTTGATTGCCTCATCAATTATAATTTTTTGTGCTACTTAGGAATATCTCGTTCTGCAAAAGGATATTTTATAGTTTCAGTGCTAGAGACTATGAAGACGTATTCTGCGGAGGATGGTCTGACTGAAGAAGCATTGGTTACCAAGCTTCGTACTTGTCGGTGCCATCATTTATTTCTGCATACATCTTTGAAAAGCAATTCCTCAGGTTTGCTAGATCTCCTTCTATAATTATTCTATATTTTTTATTTGTTTGGTTATGGAACAATCTCATTTTGAGGTGGCATTCATCAAAACTATCGACCTTTTTTCTCTTTCCCAGATTTTTTTATAACTTTTGTAATTTTTGACTATCCTTGTTCCAGTCATTCCTAATTTTTTCCTTCTTTTTATCTATTTAATTATTCACTGGTATCCGCAAATTTTCCTCATTTTTTGTTGTTATATTGTACAATGTCATTGCTGCTCCAGTCCATTACTAAATATACTGACTAAAGCTCTGATCTGGGAAAAATGAAAATATTTTGCTCATTGTAATTTAATTGTGGAAAAACTGGCTGCAGATTTTGAATACAATATAGGAAAAAAATAGTTATTCTACTTGATTGATAATAGTTATCACCTAAACCTTCTGACATCCACAGAAAAATAAGATGCTTTGAAGAATGTATGCTGCAGGCGCAGCTGGTTTTTTTAGTTTGGCATGGTGGGAAGTCCTGATCTGAATTCTGGAGAATGATAGAAATTAGGTAAATTGGACACAATATACAAATCCGTGATTATCATGTTCAGCCATAAGTGGTATAAGTCAAATTACTCATCGTTCAGGCATTTTCACTCCATTGTTTTCAGCTAAATTATGCATGAAAATTGTGATAATTATTCAAGTTCCTGTCAGATGCTGAGATGACTTCCTAACATAATGACCTCAATTTTTTTGAATTGACTTGGGTTATTGACGACACCTAAAAGTTTACTCATTCTCTTTCTCAAATATTTATGCTGATATTAAATAAGGCTATCATGTTGTCTCTCTGAAATGATATGTAAGAAATTTATGGATGTGATGTTCAAATTCCAATGATATGACAAACGCCGCGAACCAAGAACAAATCAAGAATCACGATAGAAAAGTAAACATGCCACACACAAAGAACACAGAGATTTACATGGTGAAGATTTAGTGAAAGATTTCACTATGCGAAAAACAGGGGATTATCCCGCTCCAAACCCTAAACGCCTTTATATACCGGCCCACAAGAGAGTATTAAACTGGGTCCAAAACCTGCAAGAGAAAAACATGTTTACCTCGTGGCTTTGGTGGGCTTGGGCACATACAAAGCCCAATCTTCGACTCGGGCTGAAACAAAATTTGAGCCACAACATCACATCCACTTTTGTACTCTTGCACTCAACTTGAATATATATTTTTTAATTAAGGAAAAGACGTAATTATCCCGGATTGTACGAATACTTTTTGGGATGATTGTGTAGTGCAAGGATGACAGTGCTTTTGAAGAACAATTGTCACTTGTTTTTAGGGCTGCAAATGAGCTGAGCTGTTTGCGAATTACTCGGGCTCGGCTCGTTAATTACTCGGCTCGAGCTCGATTTGTTAACAAGTGAACCGAGCTCGAGCCGAATTATGAGGCTCGATTTATAAATGAGCTGAGTCTGAACATTAGTATACTCAACTCGTTTGTTCATGAACTGTTCACGAACTAGGCTCGATAAAGCGTTCACGAACATACTCGATTATAATATATACAAAAGTTGTGGTCAGATTGTAATTGTATGTAGCACATTTATATGTATATATATATTTATGTTGGGGTGATATTGTAAATATATATAGAGTTTGTGGTTATTATGAAAATACACCTTTCTTGTCTTTGTATATAAACCCTTTTATGTTTAGGGTTTGCGCCTCCATCTCAAATTCTCGATCTGTTCTCTCTCTCCCTCATCATTGACCACCAACAATCCCGAACCAGGCAACCATCAATGAATCTCGATTTGTTCCCTCTCTCTCATCATTGACCACCAACGATCCCCAACCAGGCAACCATCAACGAAGAACGGTTGCCATGGTCGCCGGGATCTCACTCCCTCATCTACCCTCTCTTCTACCTCTGGCATCCCTTCCATCTACCACCGGTGGCTTCACCACCTTCGTCCATCACCACTCAACCCTCCTCTCTCCTCTTCTTTCTCTCCTTATATATATATATATATATATATATCTATATACCAACCTCCACCAGTGCTACCATCGGCCCTCTCTTTTCTAGCCGTTCTATCTCCCGCCGTCTGCTCCTTCTCTCGCCATCTCTGTCTTTTTCGGTGACCAAGGCGATTCCTTGCCGGTTATCATCGTTGTGCCGATTTCTGGCACTGAGAGTTGTCGCCCACGAGCTATCGAGCTCCGGCTCGAAACTCGTCAAACATAGGCCGAGCCGAGCTCAAACTAAATTTTCTAGGCTCGACTCGAGCTCGAGCCGAGCTTGAGCAGCCTATCATTTGACCGAGCTGAGCTCGAGCACACCATTACTCGGCTTGACTCGGCTCGTTTACAACCCTACTTGTTTTAGAAACATTAAGTGGAGTGCAAAGTTCAAACTGGAGTGTGGATATCATTTCTCATGATTTATAGCATTCAACCAAGAAAAATGATTGCCTGTACTGGATACAAAAAATTGCACATGGGGTGCCAGTATGATCTATAAGACCATTTATCTTGCAGTATCAGTGGCAACATGTGAGAGTTTTGCTAAGATCCTTGCATCTAATTCCACTTTTTTGCACTAGCAACTCAGATGCTTGTTTTGTACTCTATGTTGTTCATTCTTGGGAAAACTACTCTTTTTAACAAAGAAGACATCCTTTGACAGATGATATTTCTTTAACATCACGTACCTACTGTTGTCAGGGGCTTATTTGTTCTTACTTATATAATGTTGGGGCTTATGTGTAATTTCTGAAACTTGTTATTATAAATAGAATGTGGTGGAAGGATGAAAGTATTCTTTCATTCTTTTTCTCTTTCCCCATCTCTCTCTCTCTTTTTCTCTCATCCGCTGTCTTTTCTTTTTCTTCTTCTTCTTTATCACTTGCTCTTGATTTGATTATATCTTAAAGTCAACATAGTATCATAGCATGGTTTGTAAAGCTCTAGGTATGTAGTTGAAACCCTAGGGCAAGTTTGTGTAAACCCTAGTGGGTGTGAAGGGTTTTGAAGAGATTCTAAGATGTGATTTGTTTGCAAGGAAGTAGTGTTAATCACATCCACACGTACCGCGAATCCATTGCAGGGGGAGTTTCCCATTCAGGAGGAGTTTCTTACTGAGGTGCCTATGTCTAGTCCTCCTAACACTAATGATTTGCAGCAGGGAAAACAACTAATTGTCTACAGTAGAAGGGCAAAACAAGTTATTGACTCGCCTCAAGACCAATAAGTCTCACTCGATCCAAGTAATTCCTTAGTTGACCTTGATATTCTTGATTCTTTTCCTAATAGCATTCCTGTTGATCTTGATGTCCCTATTGCCTACCATAAGGGTGTTCGTAGTTGTACAAAACATCCCATATCTCAGTTTGTATCCAATGATGCCTTATGTCCAACATATCGTGCTTTCACTTCGTGTATCTTCTCTGTATCTGTTCGTTATAGTGTTTCAAATGCTCTCAGTCAAACTCCATGGAAGAAAGCTATGCTCGAAGAAATGAATGCCCTTGAGAAAAATGGTACTTGGGATATTGTTCCATTACCTAGGGGTAAGAAACCAGTAGGTTGCACATGGGTCTACAGAATAAAGTATCATGCAAACGGAACAATTGAGAGATATAAAGCTCGGTTAGTTGTAAAGGGCTTTACTTAGACCTCTGGAATTGATTATCTAGAAACATTTGCTCCAGTTGCCAAGATGAACTCTATATGTGTTCTTCTTTCTTTGGCAGCTAATTTGAATTAGCCTTTACATCAGCTGGATGTAAAGAATGCTTTCTTTCATGGTGACTTGGAGGAAGAGGTGTATATGACTATGCCACTAGGGTTTAAGCTTGCCAATGGTAAGAATTTAGTGTACAAGCTAAATAAAGCCTTGTATGGGTTAAAACAGTCGCCATGTGCTTGGTTTGAGAGGTTCAGCATTGTTGTAAAAGAGTAGGGGCACAGAGTTAAGCTGATCATACTTTTTTCATCAAGAAGCACCAGGGATGCACCACTGCCCTTATTGTATATGTTGATGATATTGTTATCACTGGAAATGATCCAGAAGAGATTCGTCGAATGGAGTCATTCTTGGGGACAGAGTTCAAGGTTAAAGACCTCGGATCATTGAGATACGTTCTTGGCATCGAGGTGTGCAGATCGAAGAAAGGGGTGTTCATTTCTCAACGGATGTATGTGTTAGATTTGTTGGCTAAAATAGGCAGGCTTGGAGCTAGACCTATTGATATTCCCATTGAGTGGAACCATAGGCTTAATGATGTAAATGGAGACCCATTCGATGACATAGAAAGATTTCAAGTTGGGAGACTGATTTACTTATCTTTCACGTGCCCGATATTGCTTATGTTGTTAGTGTGATTAGTCAGTTTATGCATGCTCCACGTACACCTCACCTTGAGACAGCTCATCATGTTCTTCGCTACCTTAAGGGTTCACTTAGTAGGGAATATTGTTTGGCAGTCATGGCCACTTGCGTGTTGAAGCCTATACTGATGCTGATTGGGCAGGGTCTGTGATAGATCGGCGATCTACTTCAGGATATTGGACATTTGTTGGAGGATATCTTGTTTCATGGCGAAGCAAGAAACAGTCTATAGTAGCTAGATCTAGTGCAGAGGCTGAGTTCAGATCCATGGCACATGGAGTTTGTGAGTTGTTATGGCTACATATGATGTTGGGTGAGTTGGGTTATCCTGTTTGCAAGTCAATGAAGTTGTATTGTGACAACAAGGTTGCTATTAGCATTGCCTACAATCCAGTTCAATATGACAGGACAAAGCACATTGAAGTCGATCAACACTTCATTTCGTCTTGGGCTGATTTGTACTCCATACGACAACACACATGATCAGGTTTCTAATGTTTTGACTAAGGGTGTGAGCAAAAATTGCTTTCAAAATATGTTGGTCAAGGTGGGCATGATAGATATCTTTGCACCAGCTTGAGGGGGAGTGTTGTCAGGGGCTTATTTGTTATTACTTAAAAGTTTGAGGTTGAAATTTTTTTAAAGAATTTTTACGCAATGGTTGAAACTCAGTTTCAAGCAAAAATTAGCATTTTTCACACCGATAATGGAACCGAGTATTTTAATGAAATTTTGGGGAGTTTTTGTTGAAAGAAAAGGGTATCCATCACCAGTCTACTTGTGTGGATATCCCTCAACAAAATGGAATTGCTGAAAAAAAAAATAAACATTTACTTGAAGTGGCTCGTGTTATAATGTTTTCAATGAATGTTCTAAAATATCTTTGGGGGGAAGCTGTTTTAACAGCTTCGTATTTGATTAACAGAATGCCTACATGTGTTTTAAAATATAGCATGCCATTAGAATGTTTCAAATTTTTTTTTCCCTTATCAAGGATATACTCGGATTTACCTCTAAAGGTTTTTGGCTGCATAGTTTTTGTTCATATACCCAATAATACTCGGTCCAAACTTGATTCTCGAGCTGAAAAATGTGTTTTCATAGGGTATGCTTCTAATCAAAAGGGATATAAGTGCTATAATCCCCAAACAAGAAAATTTTATGTGAGTATGGATGTCTCTTTCTTTGAAAATAAATCCTATTTTCACAAAAATTCTCTTCAGAGGGAGAATGAGGTGATGGAAGAAATTTTTTGAGATTTATATCCTACTCCTTTACCAAATGTGATTTTGACTACTTCACCTCATCCTATTGTTATTCCCGAAATTCAAAGTCAGGAACAATGTGATAAAACCAAAGAAAACAATGAAGAGAATCCTAGTCATATACTGCCAAACATTACTGTATCTAAAATAGGGGAAGAATCACTACAACCGGGCACAAAAGTTCCCAATACTCTGGTTTATACTCAGAGAAGACCTGATCAAAAGAGTTAAAGTCCGCCTATTCCTCTTGGAAATGATTAATCTCGACCTCCGGGAACTGGACCTCCAGATATCATAGGTAGTTCTGTTCCTAACTTATCTTCAGTTTTTGTTGCTTCTCTTAATCTAGAACCATCAGACCTTGATATTCCTATAGCTGTTAGGAAAGGTATTCGAATCAAATATCCAAATCCAAAATATCCCATTGCAAACTCTCTTATACTTATAGGGCTTTTACTTCAAAAATCTCACACTTGTTTGTCTCGAGAAACATTTAGGAAGCTCTGATGATCCAAATTGGAAGTTAGCAGTGATGGAAGAGATAAATGCTCTTAGAAGAAGTGGTACTTGGGAGACAGTTGACTTACCTAAAGAGAAAAGAACAGTAGGCTGTAAGTGGGACTTTACTGTGAATTGTAAAGCTGATGGTAGCATAGAGAGGTACAAGGCAAGACTAGTTGCAAAAGGGTTCACCCAGACCTATGGAATTGATTATCAGGAAACTTTTGCTCTTGTAGCCAAGATAAACTCAATCAGAATCTTATTATCTTTGGCTGTGAATTTCGGCTGACCATTACACTGGTTAGATGTAAAAAATGTCTTTTTAAATGGAGATCTTGAGGAGGAGGTCTTTATGAATCTACCACCTGGGTTTGAGGGAAATTTGGGATCTAATAAAGTCTGTAAACTGAAAAAATCTTTATATGGTCTCAAACAGTCCCCTAGAGCTTGGTTTGAGAGACTTAGGAGAGCTGTGAAGAATTGTGGCTACTGTCAGAGCCAAGCTGACCATACCATGTTCTACAAACAGAGTAGAGAAGGCAAGGTTGCAGTCTTAATTGTTTACGTGGATGATATAGTCTTGACAGGTGATGACACTGAAGAATTGGGGAGACTGAAAAAGATACTTGTAGCTGACTTTGAGATCAAGAATTTGGGTGCATTAAAATACTTTCTTGGAATGGAGTTTGCTAGATCCAAAGAAGGTATATTTGTGAATCAACGTAAATATGTTCTTAATTTACTTAGTGAGACAGGTCTGTTAGGATGTAAACCAACCGAGACACCCATTGAGCCCAACCTTAAGCTGCAGCCTTCTAAAGATGAAGAAATTCTGAATAGAGAGTAGTATCAAAGACTTGTTGGAAGACTGATCTACTTGTCACATACACGTCCAGATATAGCTTTTGCAGTCAGCATGGTTAGCCAGTTCATGCATTCACCTGGACGAGAACACTTTGATGCAATCTACAGAATTCTCAGATACCTAAAGGGGACCCTTGGAAGAGGTCTACTGTTAAAAAACCGTGGGCATTTGCAAGTTGAAGCCTATACTGATGCGGATTAGGCTGGGAGTGCTATTGATAGACGGTCAACTTCTGGCTACTGCACCTTTGTTGGAGGTAACCTTGTCACCTGGCGGAGTAAAAAACAGAATGTGGTGCAAGAAGTAGCGCAGTGGTCGAGTTTAGATCAGTTGCTTATGGAATTTGTGAGGTGTTATGGATTAACAGACTATTGGAAGAATTAAAGGTCTTTAATCCGTTGCCTATGAAATTGTCGCTCACAATCCAGTGCTTCATGACAGAAGAAAGCACGTGGAGGTAGACAAACACTTCATGAAGGAAAAGCTCGAAAACAGATTGATCTTTATGCATACATTCCTACTACCGAGCAAGTTGCAGATGTGCTTACACAGGGACTTCCTACAAGACAGTTCGACAGACTAATTGGCAAGCTGGCTATGGAAGATATCTTCAAACCAGCTTGAGGGGGAGTGTTGAAAAAGAAAGATTCGGTAGTAATACTGCCAAATATTATTAGCTGTAAATATAATATTTGGAGGATATTTGCTGTAAATAGAATATTGGTCAATGCTGTAAATTAGGAAATTATTAATTAGGCCAGCTAGCTATTGTAATCAGTTTTTTGATTTCCTTCATACATATATATGTATATATATATATGCCATCTTGCGTATTCAATCCTTCAATATATGAGAGGCTTCTTAACAGGGACTACTCGTTGGGGAGAGTTTGGTGAAGGAGGGCTATTGTGGGGAGAATGCAGTGTCAGGCACTTTGAATGGTTTGAAGGCAATCCTGTTAATGAGCTCTTGTTTAAGGTTCACCTTTCAAATGATTTAATCTATTCTTGAAGTTTTGCCTGAAAAGTTTTTACATCTTGAGAATATTGGACAATTTCAGGTAAAGGAGCTCTACGGTCTTGACAATGAAGTCACTTTCAGAAATGTCGCTGTTTCTTCAGAAAACAGGCCTCGCCCTTTACACCTAGGAACAGCCACACAAATTGGTTGGGCCACACTATAGTCATTTATGATATTTTATACATTTTTTAGTCGTTTTTGATATTTCATAGTTCGTTCCAGTACTAAATCTTATTGAAAACATTGTCCTATGCAAACTTCCAGGTGCTATACCAACTGAAGGAATACCATGTTTGTTGAAGGTTCTGCTTCCATCAAATTGCACTGGTCTTCCTGTTCGGTAAGTGAGAAATTCTCGATGTTTTCCCTTGCCAGGGAAACAATAAAATACCACATGTGGTTATTAATTACTAATGACTAATTGAAAAATACCACAAAATTAATGGAATTTTTTTTTCTTACACTTCTCTCGTTTTGACACGTGACTTGAGGTGGGTTACTATTACGGTAACCTGGTATAAAAACAGTTGCAAGCTAGGATTTAATTGTGAAATGAACAAAGAAGGAAAACAATTAGAAGACGAGCAGAGAGTGAGAGATATATATCTTTTACTCTCTTACGGTATTATTATTTTATTTTATTTTAGGATTGAATATAATTTTTTCCATGTTTGTTGGATGATGTATGTGAAACTCGCCTAAACTGCCCATTGTTAAGTTGATCCTTGATTGTGAGTGATGTGAATTGAAGCCACGGGACAGGTCTATTAGCGATGGAACAGTTATATCTGTGACTCCGCTATTTTTGAGTTCTACAATTTAATTATCATCTGAATATTAGGGGTGATATGATTGCAACATGTTGGAAACACAATTGGAAATTGGATGCTGAGTAGATGTAGAAGCGAGCTGAAATCAACTGCATGAAGAACTTGAGGAGGATCATTAACAATAGAAGTAACGTCACAAAGTGGTAAATATTCCCTGCTGATGAAGATGTTTAGAAGGTCATGTCTCAAGGTGGTAAATGTTCTTTGTAGATGAAGATGTTTAGAAGGCCATGTCATTGATGGGTAGCTTCCTTGATCTTTTTCATATACAAATTAGTAACTCTAGGAAGGATATATTTTCAAGTTTACAAAACCCTTCGTTTTCCCTAGAAGTAGCAATGGTTGTACAAGAAATAGAACAAAAATGGAGGAGGGATCTTTTCACTCGTAGCGTTTCGTTGAAGGTGTCATGGGTTCTGATAAAGGGAAAAAAAGGCAGGTTTAGAAAAGGTGATATCAAATATTATGTGTAAGAAGACGGAGGAACTGTAAATCACCTTCTTCTGCATTGCCCATTGGTGAGAGCCGTTTGGACTATGTTTTTAATTGTGTTTGGCATGTCTTGGGTGTTCCCAAGATCCACAATGGATTTGATTGAGGCTTGGAGAGGGTGTCTAGTGGAAGCCGAGCCAAGGATGTTTGGGGGGCCATTCCCCTTTGTTTATGGTGGTATTTGTGGTGTGAGAGGAATAGGAGATCCTTCGAGGGCAAGAAGACTCCTATCTGGGCTCTCAAATACAATATACTGTATACTTTATTTTTTTGGGTTAATGGGCGTAATTGTAAATCTTTGGGGCATCTTTTGGATTTTGTGAATAGCTTAAAGCTATAGTTGTCGCCTTTAGCGTCTTGTGTATTATTTTGGGAGCGCTCCCCTCTTGTGCACCTTATATGAAATCTTGTAAAAAAAAGGTAAAAATGGATATATTCACAGCTATAAGTTTAATACTAGTCACACCCCTTTCAAGGAGGTGAATACCTAAAATAATTTACTTCTAGGATTAAGTTTTGTTATACTGACCTTTAACCTTAAGCAGGTGTAGTTTGATTGAAGTATTCTACAAAATGAACTTATTTTTACTCGCAAGCTTTGAAGCATACTCTTAGTTGGGGATATTTTGTCCTTACGTAGATTCAAGCTTTAGTTCTCATCTTTTGGAAATCAAACTCTTAATTATAAGAAGTTAATATATATATAAAGGGATCACAATGTCTTATATATAAAAATAAAGGGGATGTGCAAAGTTGTAATAATTACCGTGGTATGAAATTAATGAATCACACAATGAAACTTTGGGAGCCAGTAATTGAACGACGCCTAAGACGAGAGATGAAAGTGTATGGTAGGGTTCCTAGAGACGAAAGTGTATCAATTTGGATTCATGCCGGGTAGGTCAACAATGAAGTTATTTACTTATTGAGGAGACCAATGGAAAGATATAGACAGAAGAAGAGAGGTCTTCATATGGTTTTTATTGATTTGGAGAAAGTCTATGATAGGGTTCCTAGAGACCTAATTTGGAGGGTTTTAGAATAGAAAGGAGTCACAAAGGGATACATTGACACAATAAAGGATTGAGAATCAAAAGATACAAAAAAGTAAACATTTTCATTATGTAGGCTCAATAATTCATATAGAGGGAGAAATTGGAGATGATGTTAATCATAGAATCAACGCATGATGGGTTAAAAGGAGGAGTGCATCTAGTATATTGTGTGATAGACGGCATCCCCTTGCGATTGAAAGGGGAATTTTATAGAACAACTATTAGACCAACCATACTTTATGGTATGGAATGTCGGGCAGCTAGGAAACAACATTTGCATAAAGTGAGTGTGGCAGAAATGAGAATGTTGAGATGGATGTGTGGTGAGACTAGAAAGTATAGAATTAGAAATGATCACATTCAGAAGATGGTTGGAGTAGCACCAATTGGAGATAAAATGAGAGAAAACAGGTTAAGATTAGACACTTGAAGCTGTTAAAGTTGTTAATGAGATTAAATATAGACACTTGCAATTAGCGCATCTATTCAGTTTTGCAACTTTAAGAAGCTGTTAATGAGATAAAATTAATCATTCTATGTGTCACATGCATTGTCTGTGCGCATATCTAGTGTGTGTGTATATATATATATGTATATGCTTATCTTTTTCTCTATTTCTTTGAGGTTTTATTGAAAAGCCAAAGCCCATGCTAGTAGGTATAAATTGTGAAGGCTGATAGCAAGTTTTCCCTTTGTTTAAACTGTGATCATCTCTATGTTTACAGGCTACATAATTGTATTTTTCTTTTTCCTCTTGCTCTTATCTGAATGTTTTAAGTTGGAGATTGACAGTTTTCTTTTAGTAGCCAGTGGAAAAGCCAGTGCACATGTTGATTGGACGCATGCTTGTTTTCATATATAGAATTGCACTACTCGGCTGCCCTTTTTCCTTGATGGAAGGGAATTATCTTTGGCTTCCTTAATTTTGTTAACTTTGATTCCAGGTATGTAAGAGATCTTCTTTTGAATCCCCCTGCTTATGCGATTGCATCCACAATTCAAGGTTAGTTGTTTTATACACCATACAGCAACATGTATGGTTACAAACAGTGTGATATGAGCTGTTGATATTATATTGATTGATGAAACTGAATAAGTGTTAGATGCTAAACTAGAGGTAAAGAATAAGATTTAGAAACAGGAGGATATAAGACAACTAGAGCGAAAACTGAATATATTGAATATAGTTTTTTGCTAGACTATGAACACAAGCAGGGATGCAGTGAGGTTGAGGGGCCAAGAGATATTAATAAGTGAATAATTTCATTAACCGATCTTGATTATTTACGTAGGAGAGATTGGTGATGTATTCGCATTGAACTAAAGCAGGATGAAATAAATGGATGAAATAAATGGATGAATTAAATGGATGAGCACTTCTAAAATACTGACTGAGCAACACATGCATCTAAAATTAGAAGGTAAATTCTACAAAATAGTTAATACTTTATGAGATAAAATGTTGTACAAGATGTCCATAGAAAGAGTGTTGTTGAAATGCTAATATTGAGATGGATGCCTGGTAAGACAAGAAAGATAAAATTAAGAATAATTGCATTCATAAACGGTTAAAGTAGCATTCTTTTGGAGATAAAATGAGAAAATCGACTAAGATGTTTTGGCCTTGTGCAATGAGAACCCATAAATTCCCTAGTTAAGAAGAGTAATGCAATAGAATGGTGCCTTGAAAAGTTTCTTTGTGTTTAATGAAGTCAAAGTTCATCCTTGTTTCTACAAGAAGTATTAAATAAGGTTTAGAACTACTAAGGGTTTGCTTAGGGAAGTGGTAAAATGTATTAATGCTTTGTGGAGATTCTAAAAGTCATTATAGGAGAAATCAGGAGTCATTAGAAGATATATTATATAAGGGACAACCCTTTTCTCTACTGTAACAAGTCTTGATCAATATAATTTTGAGATATATTCAGATTATTTACTTCTCTCAAGGCTTTTCCGAGATTTCCCTTAGAAATCTAGGCTCCTACGTTGATTGGAGTAATTTTAGCATTTCTTACTACTGCAAGAAGACTTTTGTTTTTCTGTTTGCTTCGAAGAGTGGTTTGTTCCACATTGAGGGTGATTTTAGGGGAATGAGAAAACCAGCAAGGACCAATGCCCTTTCTCTTGTATTAATATTGTAAAATTGACCATTCAGAATAAACAATTCTAAAGAATATTCTGTGAAGTATAATCAGAATCAAAGATGGATCAACATTATTAATTTTGCATGGTGGTTAACCTTGGAGAATATTATAAAAGTAGATAATGTTCTTTGAATCTCAAAGAACAAATCTTATAGGCATCTCATAGCATGAGAACTACAATTAGGCTAGAATAATCTTATTTATTTATTGCTTTCAAAATTTTCTGTTAGCTCAAACATATTGTAGACTAAGACCTGGGAACCAAGTGAAACTTGGTTGACAAGTCTTGAGTAGAATTCACAAGACCCATTGAGGCTGGCCCAAACCAACAGCCAAACCCACAAAACAATGGCACATACATTACCAAATTGGTAAATTCTTAATAAAAGAGGCGCATTCTTGGTCAAATGTGTTATCAGATAATCAGACTGCAAATGGGAATATAAGATTCTCAAGCATCCCTATCTCAAAAATTCTATGTGTTTTTATCTTACAATACCAAGTACAGGCTGCAACTTATTAAAGCAGATATACACATTGTGTGAGGTTATACAAGGAGTATGGTTTTTTAAATAGTTGCTCATTACCTTTTCCAGAGAGACCCCAAGAATATGATAATTTAGTAGTTGGCATTACAAAAATGTTTTGTCTCCCATTACAAATCTTTATTAATATGTCCATATTTTTATGTTACACATTTCATGAATTCTGTGCTTATACTAATTTGTATTGCTTTTTCAGCGGCATGTAAACTTATGAGCAATGTAACATGCTCAATTCCCGAGTTTACTTGTGTTCCATCCGCGAAGGTTGTACTCCAATACCTTTCTTTTTGTTTTGAGATAGAATTACTGTCATGCTTCTTTTGAGACTTCCTAGATCTCGGTTCTTTGAATTATTGGTTGTGGCTTTTTGAAGCTGAATTGTTTCTTCAGATATCTTTGTGGAAGGCATTTAATTATTTTATTATACAGTTATACTTGAATATCATATACGCTCAACTCAACAACACCTTGTCCCAACTATTTTGATTGGCTTCTCGAATCTTGTTTTGCCATTCTGGTCTACCAAGGTCATAACTTTAGTTAAGGTACAAGCTATCATTCTCAAAGGCTAATAGTTCGGTCTTCTGCATTTGCTAGTACTACTCTCAATGTTGATGTCATTTTACTCTCTGAGCTGTTGTTGGTCTTCACTGCACATGGTCAAACCCAATTAGTTGGTTTTCTCTCACTTTATCTCCAGTAGGTGCTATTTCAAGTTTCAACTGTCTCAGAGCTTTATGATCTTTGCAACAGCCTGTGTATGCTATTGTCTTATCTACACCAGTCAGTCCCAACACCCAACAAAAGGAAAGTTGCACTTGGTAGTTGATGGCCAACACAAAACCTTTGTTGAGCCTGTATGAACTTGAATCTTGACCATGATACATCATAAGCTATATAAATGTTTTGATGATTTCATTTGACTGATTTTAAAGTATATGGCCATTCAAATCCTTATGCTTCTATAAAGCATATTTTTATTCCTCTTCTTGGGTGGAGTGAGTCAGTGACCGACCTTTCTTGAGTGCTAGGTGCATGACTGATTAGCATGCTATATTATCTTATGCTACAATTGAGTGCTAGAGTAAGGAAATTTCTGGTCTGAGTTCTGGTTGAAATGCTACAATTGTTCCCTCAAGTATCTCTCAGTGTGTCAGTTCTATTATCTTGCTGATTGGAGAGCCACATTTAGTTCCATGATTCCATCTTGAACAGTAAAAGTGTAGTTGCTGATGCATTACATGACGGAATGATTTTTTGATTAGGAGTTTGTTGATTCACAATCTCATTGCTTGCCTGGTTCTGAAGTAGGTCTCAAGGCAATTTTCATAAGATTAGCAGTTTCTTGTATAAAGGCATGCAACATGTGTCTTTTATGCATTTATCTTTATTTTTAGTGACGCTTTGTAGTTTACAGGTGTTTTGTGATTGATTCTGTCAGTCTTGTTAATTCAATTGGAAGGTGGTAATTGTAATGTGCCCCTGTGATTGGTCCCAAATTCTTATCGGGTTGTTAAAAGCAATACCTGGCAAGACCCTTTCAACCAGGAGTTGCATACATGAAACATTCAGCCAATTCGCTTGAAGCATCCTAATTGGTTAAGCTGATTCCAATTAATTGACTTTTTTTCCTTGGTAGTGCTTAAGATTGTAGATTGTGGGAATTAAACCTGGCATCATAGGTATGGAAATCTGCACCTGTGAGTTGTTTGACTTTGACCATATCAATCTTGACTGTAAACATCTTCAGTTTCTTACCATTCTCAGGAGGGAGATTGTTACTAGACAGCCACACAGTCACATACCAACATAAATATTTATATACACGTACATCGATTATCTATATTTGTATCTTCATTGATGCACAGTTTTCTCTTGGGTACAAAGACATTTCTGATATCCATTTTTCCTTTTTTTGCAAGGAAGGAATACCATATATATTTTTTATTTATAACAAATTCATAGTGTGACAATGTCCACATGTTTACATTGAAAATGATTTAGTTACATGCTTTATTACTTTTTTTGTTGAGATTTAAAATATGATTAGATGAAGTATATCTTTTATATAACTAATTAATTTGTAGCTTTTGTAATAATTTTTTTATGATAGTGGCTTGACCAAGTGACCTGGTTGTTGAATAGGAGAATAAATGACCCCACTATTCCTCCTTTTCATTTTGATGCTTGGTCTGGTTTTAGTAGCTAGGATGTGTATCACAAGTATGATGGCTTTTGCATCACAGTCTGCATGCCAAGTGCTTGCTATGCAGCCTATGACATTTTTGGCTAGCCATTCCACAAGCTTGATGTATGGTTTATTTTTTTGAAAATAAATGTCTCAATCAGTAGTAATCTTTTTTCTCACCAGTTCTATAAATGTTCATTTAGTATGTATAGGAGGTCAATCCTTAAGTCGACTCTATCCTTGACACCTAGCATATGGAGCTAAAAGTGTAACTGCTCTATGTACCACCTCATTACCATGTTTTAAAGGACCTGTGTTCGAAGAGGAATTTTGGCAGGGGAGATGGCCTTTACTACTTTAGGTATCCTCCACTGACACCTCCTCTACTTGCTTCAAGCCTTCAAGCCTCTGTTCTTCCAGTTTCCAGGCCTTATGATTTTTCTTTTCAAACTTTAAGTTTATGGCATGCTCGCCTTGGGCATTTAAAATTTCAGTATTTATGTATACTTTTCCCTTCATTAATAACGGCTTGTAAGGATAATAAGTTTCAATGTGAGATTTGTGAGCTTTCTAAACATACTAGAACCAGTTATATTTCTCATATGCATCGTGCACCTAGTATGTTTGATCTCATACATTTTGATGTGTGGGGTCCTCCTCCTGTTACAATTTTTTCGGGGCATCATTGTTATTATGTCACATTCATTGATGATTATTCCCCGTTGCACATGGGAATATTTACTTAAAAAGAAATCTGAAGTTTTTCCCTTGTTCACTCAATTCCTCCAAATGATCAAAACTCAATATAAAATTGTTGTTAGGAATATTAGGTCTGACAATGGTCGTGAATATGTTTCAATGAGTTTCGGTCTCAACTTAACCAACGGGGTATTCTTCATCAGCTTACTTGCCCATATACCCCTGAACAGAATGGTGTTGCAAAGTGTAAAAACCGTTAAATGTCAGTTGTTCGATGTCTTTTAAGTGGTATGAATGTGCCAAGTCATACTGGCACATGGAGGTTCTTATAGCTACTTTTCTCATTAATCGTACCCCTTTAAATGGTAAGGCTCCATTACAAGTGCTTCAGCCTGGTATTACTCTTTTTTCCATCATGCCTCGGGTGTTTGGATGTATATGTTTTTGTTCAGAATCGTAGCCCTTCTCGTACTAAACTTGATGACAAGGCCATTAAATGTGTCTTTTTAGGATACTCTTCCATGTCAAAAGGTTATTGGTGTTATGATCCAGTACACAAACTGTTGGAAATCGTGTCTCAAATTCCTATTCTAGTTAGGATTTTATTTTAGAGTTATATCCTGTTAGGTAATTTCTTATTTGGTAAGTCTTGGCCTCTAAGGAATTGTAATCCTTGTCCAACAAGGAATTGGGATTTGAACTTTATAAATAAATACATAGGTTTTGAGTTGAGACTTGTGAGATTGAGAGAGATGTAGTCTCATGAAGGAGTTGATGGGTAGAGGTAGTATGCGGATTGGTAGAGTAGGAAAAACACCAATGACACTGGTAGCAGGGAGAGGACTCTGGAATTCGTACAGAAACAAAGTGAGGGGCTGAAATTTTGTAATTTCCGATTTTACATACCCTAACACAAACACATGCATCACTCTCTTGATGTCACCTTTCATGAGCATACCCCTTTTTATGGTTCTAACATTATCTTGCAGGAAACTTCTACTCTCGACTTCTCCTTTTGCTCGTCCTCTTCCTATTTTTCTAGAAGAGTCTTCTCTTGTGGTTTCCTTACCCCCTTTGCAGGTGTATTCACGATGCCCTTGTGCTCCGTCTCCACTGCCTTCATCCTCCTCAGATTTAGGTTCATGTACATCTCTCTCCGCTTTACATTGCCCTGACCCTGTTCTCGTTCCTGAGTCTCAGTATCCCCCCTGCTCGATTTGGATTCGCTTGTAGTACTAATCATCGTATTTCGCAGTATATCTCTTATGATGGTCTTTTAGGGTATTACTGAGCCTTTCTAGGCAAACTTGATTCCATTTCCATTCCCATAAAGTTGTCTGAGGCTCTCCAGAATCCTAATTGGATGTCTGCTATGAAGGTAAAAATGGATGTTTTGTAGCATAATGAAACATAGGAGCTTGTATCTCTCCCTCTTGGTGAAAAGGACTTTTGGTTACAAATGGGTATTCAGTGTTAAATATTTGGTTGATGGCTCTATTGATCGGTATAAAGCCCGTTTGGTGGCTAAAGGGTTTACTCAGATTCCTGGTAAAGACTTTAATGATACCTTCGCTCCGGTGGTTAAATTGACCTCAGTTCGTTTGCTTGTCTCCCTGGCTGCCTCTCACAATTGGCCTCTTCATCAGCTTGATGTGAAGAATGCTTTCCTTAATGGTGATCTTCTTGAGACTATTTACATGGATCCTCCACCCGGTTTTCGGGCTGAGGGGGAGTATGCTGGAAAGTTCTGTCGATTGCGAAAGTATTTGTATGGATTAAAACAATCTCCCAGTGCCTTGTTTAGCCGTTTCAGTGATGTAATTCTATCCATGGAATTTGTTAGATGCCATTCTGACCATATGTTTTATCTACCGTTCCTCCACTGGTCGATGTATCATTTTGCTTGTCTATGTTGATGATATCATCATTACTAGCAATGACATTCCTGCGAATGCTCAAGTAAAGCTTCAATTGGCTAAAACTTTTGATGTGAGACCTTGGGCAGCTCAAATATTTCTTGGGAATTAAGGTTGCTAGATCTAAGCAGGTTATATCTTTATCTCAAAGGAAGTATGTCTTGGATCTTCTTCGAGACACAGGTATGCTTGGGTGTAAACCTGCTTCCACTCCTATGGATCCTAATCTGAAGATCTCGGCTGAGTTTGGAGATCTCCTTTCTAATCCCTCGTAGTATCCGCGCTTGGTAGGAAGATTGATTTATCTTACCAACACCCGTCCTGATTTGGCTTTTGCGGTTAGTGATGTCAGCTAGTTTATGCATGCTCCTTGTACAGTTCATATGGATACGGTATATCATATTCTTCGATATCTTAAGTCCATTCCTGGAGTTGAATTATTTTAGCAAGAAACAACCTGTAGTTTCGAGATCTTCAGCGGAGGCTGAGTATCGTGCCCTGGCTCAGGTTACTTGTGAGATTCTCTGGCTTCGATCTTTCTTGGAAGAGCTAGGGCTAGGTGAAAAACAGTTCTCAGACTTGTTTTGTGATAATAAGTCAACCATCATGCTTGCTTCAGATTCTGTTCTATATGAGAGGACTAAACATATAGAGGTGGATATTCATTTTATCAGAGGGAAGGTTCATTGGGGAATTATCAAGCCGTGCTTTGTTCGTTCCTCTAATCAGTCGGCCGATGTGTTCACCAAATCTGTGGGTCCATCTTTGCTTCATTCCTCGATTACCAAGTTGGGCTTGATTGATATCTTCACTTCAACTTGAGGGGGAGTGTTGAAATATCTTTATTATTATTATTTTAATTTTTATTAGCTGTTTTTAGTGTTTTATTAGATATTTTATGTAAGATTCCTATAGTCATGGGATCACGTAGATAAATCCCCATAATCATGGGATTCTGTAGATAAGATTCCCATAATCATGGGATCACGTAGATTTTGGCATATTTCCTGTCTTTTTTTGATTTGGTTTCCTTTCTTTGTACCCTATTCTTGTATATAAATATAGATCTTGGCTCTTAGTTTGAGTAAGCCGAAACTCAAAACTTCTTCTTTTGATCTCTTCTTGTTGGTCCGTATACAACTCAGTTCAAATACTTAGTTTCTCCTTGCATTCACTTTATTTTTTGTAAGATGGTTTTATTAATGGCCCTGCTGACAATCGCCCAAAAGGGAAACCCAACCAAAACTAGCAAACTAACAGCAAGGCAGAAACAAAGGAAAACAAGAATATACCAGCAGATCTAAAGCATACCCATCAACAAATAGAACCAGAATACATGCAAGGAGACCAGAACAACAAGAACGACTATTTAAGCCTAGAACAAATCTGCATAGAGTTGGAACAGCAGCTTATTCAGGCCATATGAAATTGCAGCATAATAGAACAAAAGTGAGCATAATAAATACTCCAAAAAAGTTTCAGCAGCGGCAACAAATCCTAATTCTCCTGATATAATCAGTTGGACCAGAAAAACCTCCAGAACCACAGCACGGAGAAGCTACTCTAACCAAGAACTACATAGAGATTTCCCTATCTTCACTTAGTGACGTGAAAATAATTTTTTACCGTCTATGACGTGTAGATTGCCCATTAACCACCACTTTATTCCTTTTAAGCTATAATTATTTATTACTCTCTCTCTCTCTCTCTGGTAGATATTGTTTATTTGTTCTTTTCTAAGCATGCTAGTATCTTTTCTATCAAAACTTATTTTACGTTAGTAGTTGAGGCCCTGGTTTCTTTCTGTTTTTTTGCAGCTTGTGAAGCTACTTGAGCTTAGGGAGGTTAATCATATCGAGTTTTGCAAAATCAAAAGTGTGCTTGATGAAATACAGCAGTTGAATAAAAATTCTGAGCTTAATGAGATCCTGAAATTGTTAATGGATCCTACATGGGTAGCAACTGGGTTGAAAGTGGATTTCGAGACTTTAGTAAGTGTTAATTTTGAATTTTTGCATTACTTTATTTTTATCTCTCATTCTTTGTTCTGTAAAAATTTTAGGGGAAAAAATGTCTTGAAGGAAGGACTTATGTTCAAGTAGTATGAGTGGGCTGAGTGAGAAAATGAAGAAGCAACTTTTGGACATGACATTTTGCATTGTCTTCATATAAACAAATATTGTGGATCAGCTCTTTTGAAATAAAATGTGAATCTATAAAGATCCATAGGTGAGAAAAATGAAATGGTCAATAAGAGTTGTATAGACAAGAGATTGATTGGTTGCTTGAGTCTTAGCAAATGAAGCTCATCCCGATCCTCCTCAAAGGAGTAATGTTGAAAGTATTATAGAAACCGAAGACGGACATGTTGAGATAAGATTTTTACCTAAGAAATCCCTTGATACACAACCTCACTATATCTCAAATTGGGATATACCTAGGTCAAGATAAGTGAATTATACTTGAGAGTTTTTGTATTAAGACAAACATTTGCAATTGAAACTGTGGAAGAATCACTAGAGGTTACTGGTGAAAATCAGAGAGAGGGAGGGACCATATTCTAGTGGAAATTACCACCCAAAAGGAAAAAGAAGAAAAGGGGAAATAAATAACATCAAAGACAGACTAGTAAAAATGAGGAATCAACTCAACAAATCCTTGTCCCAACTATTTGGTATAGACACGTGTTTTCTATTTCCCCATTATGCTCCAAGGATAGTTGGTGTAGGCACGTGCATCCTATTTCCCCGTTATGGTCTAAGGCTCTAAGACTAGTTAAACCACTATATATTGTATCTTTCTCTACCACCTCAGTCTCTGTCAATTTTGGCATTTTTCTTCTCCTAATGTTATCCTCAATGTAATTATTGAAGATTTTCCTCCACTGATTCCTTCAATAGTAATAAATCACATCATTCATTCTTATTGGTTGCATTATTGGTTTTCACTGCACATGACTGAACACCTTAGTTGATTTTGTCTCTCATTTTATTCCAATGGAGGCAATTTTCAACTATTTTATGAATGAAATTATATTTTCTTGGTAAACATATATGTTCATATCTGCATTTCAACCATGCTCATTTTATGAATATGATATTTCTTCGTTGCCAACATTATGTATTATAAACAATATTTCCGGGAAAAAAAAAACCTTATGTACTAAAAGCATAGTTGGTCAAATAACTGTTATATAAAATAAACCATTTGATTTTAGAGGTAAACATTTATTTCACAGTATGCTAGAATCACTCTTCCATTAAACCCAACTTGTGATAGTACTATAAGTAACACATCTCCGATCTCTTATTCTGTGAATGATCGAGTCTACCTAATTGTTCATGTTTTCATGTATCTTGATCCTTGATCTTCACTATATCGCCACTTGTATTCCTTATTATGCTGCAATTACATTTTATCTATCTAGTTTTAATCGTACTTATCTTTAACCTTCTTACATCTAGAGCTTCTCTCCACACCTTTAATTAAATAGTTTTCCATACTTTAGTTTTACCAATTCAATTAAAATCATCAACGAATATCATACATCATAGAATCTGATCCTGTATGTATTGTTTCCGATCCATTTATGATTAAGACAACAGAGATGAGGGCTGGTGTTGATCGCTGATGTATGCATATGGTGATTGAAAATGCATTTGTTTCTTCTGTAATTTTCCCTGCTATATTCCGAACTCTACATAGCCTTTATCATTTCAACGTATTTAGTTGTTCTTCTTTCTTTTTTTTTTTCTTTTTTTTTTTTTTTTTTCTAAAATATATTGTATTATATCTCATGTTTTTTTGTAGAAACATGGATATCGTTCTCCTCCTGCATCTTTCCTTTCTCCTTGGAAGTTAAATACCTCCCCTTGCTAAACTCCCTGGGATAAGTGCAAATTGAATTTCTTACACTATTGTTTCTTGTTTTACTCGTTCAGTCACTCTTTAACGATTCCTGCTATCTTATAGCGGTTCCACAAGGATTATACATTCCTGGGATTTATCTTTTTTTTTATATTATTTGGATCAGGAATTTTTCAGTAATTTTGTATCTTAAGATTATTGGATTTGGGTCAGGGTTTTATAAACAATTCTTTCGAGTGTTGCTATTTTTTATTTTATTTTTTCCTGCATAATCTCTTAGAAGCTTTTACTTATGTGGTTCTTGTAGTGTCATTGTCATTAGTTTGGCTAGATTTCATCTTGCTTCATGTACCTTTTGTATGTATCCATTTACATGGTTCTCTTCTTTGTCTCCAGTTTATACTCCATGCCCCTGATATTATATATTTTCTGTCAATTCGATTAAATTACTTGTGTAAGTATGAAAATTACTAGGATATGGAATTTGTTCTTTATGTTACATGCTTCTTTAGGTTCTTGGCTTTAAAAGTTGGAACTTATCATATAGTTCTTACATCCGTCAGACATTCTCACTTTGTCCTTATCATTATGTAAAGCAACTATCTTTGACAATTTTTTTCAATCATTTTTGTTGGATTTACTCACTAATGCATCTCATCGTCATCCTTGTTTCTTTTAGGTCAATGAATGTGAATGGGTTTCACGCAGAATTGGTGAAATGATATCTTCGGATGGAGAAAGTGATCAAAAGACAAGTTATTATCCTATCATTCCTAGTGAATTCTTTGCGGATATGGAGTCCTCTTGGAAAGGTCGAGTGAGGAGGATCCATTTAGATGAAGAATTTGCAGTAGTGGAAAGGGCAGCTGAGGCCTTAAATTTAGCTGTAAGTCTCTAAGAGTCTACTTTGTTCGTTGCAAATAGTTACTGTAATACTTTACTCTGGTGACAAAATATGCTCATTAGATGACCCTGGCTTTGCATTTTCTTGATGATACATATGCACCTTGGTCTGGTCATTACAGTGCATTATCAATTCTCTTTGATATTTTAAAATATATATACAACATATATGATATGTAAATTGTCTCAGAAAATTGATTAAAAATAAACAAAATGTAGAATTTAGAGAACAGTGGAGGAAGAATTGAAGTGTAGGGTTTCTGTCTCTTCAAGGGTTTCTCTCATTAATATTTATATCAAAACAAATACATTGCCGAAATTACAAAAGTACCCTCATAATAATTATTTTCTCACTTGCTACCAACACTCTATCTGAGATGCAAATGTATTTGCACATGTTTAGGATGGATAGTGTTGCGAAAAATCTTTTCACCTGTTCTAGCTTAAATGTCCACACAGTTTTTTTTTTTTTTTGTATCTCCTTATCACAAAGGGTGTATGGATAATGACGTGTCTTGTACTGGAGGATTTAGGACTGCAGGGTGTAGGCAGAGCCCCATTGCAAGTCCTGGAATGCGGTTTTCTGTATAAGTGACTCGGGACTTTTAAAGTGAATATGGTGGCCCTAACAAAAAATTTCACTATATCAACTATGGCCTTGCTTCAAACTTAGATTAATTCTACGGTGCTCAATTTTAGTTTTCCATTTTCTGACACACAGTAACTTCTAATAGTTTTATTTTGAACCCTGCTTCCATCTTTCAATATTTTAAAGGATCGTTGCCCCTTCCTTTCCGTAAAGAGAAACACTAGCAACAGTTGTGACTGTCGTCCTTCAGCCATTTGATGAGGTGAGCCCCACCTTGGGAGCCACACAATTCTTCAGCTGATGGTTGCCACGCGACACATTGGTGACTACCATTGTCATTTTTACTTCTGTAGTCATTAATTATTTTCATATATTCTTTGGTTCCTATAGTAGTTGGTAAACCCCTCAGATCCCAAACTTTAACTTTTATGTTGTGTACAATATTATATATATTCTTCTAGGAGATCTACAAGACTCCATTTAATAAACTAATGATGTCATTATAACTTAATTACTGCATAATTCCAAATGCAAGGCTTTTGTAGTGCGGAAAAGTTAGCTCAGAGAAAGATTTATATTTTTTAGCATAAGAGTAAGAATATATAGTTATTCTTGGGACAATGATAATTTTCAAATAAAACGATGATTATTTTCAAATAAAAGTATTTTTAAAAATCAACATTATTCAAGCATTCACTTTTAAAAATTATGTCTTGTATAAAAAAGGGTTAAAGTAAAAAAAATCTGCATTGTCCGGAGCGACGGTCAAGTTAGTACTTAGACCATTCGAAGTCAATGAAAGACTTGTATTTAATTTTTGTCGTACCTTGGTTAGTTGACCGACAAGTTCTTTTATAGGAGGATTCGTAGTAGTGTCCTACCGTGAGACCGCTTCCTTTTTCATCAATTTATTAGGAACAGTGGTAGTCATTATCTCCACCACCTTGTAGCTTATCCAAACCTTTGGGCTTCCGTGTCGGCTGGACTTCCTCACAGATCCAATATTCTGTATCAGTAACTAACTCATCATCAATTCAATTGGTGCTGGCCATTCAGCATCCTTTTATGACTTAGTTCTCATTTCTCAGATGATCATATTTAGCAATAGGAGACTCTCCCTCGAGAAATTTTTAGGCATCTATGAATCCTGGAAACCACTTCAAGGTGTGACCAAACTCAGTTGCTGAAGCTCTCTCTCTCTCTCCACCCATATGTGGCTGTATTAATGCATTCTATTCAATAACTCGCTAGAAATATCTGCCTTTTCTTTTTATTTTATTAGTGCTGCTTTATTATTATTATTTGGCATCAGTCTTCTATGTTAAGTAATTTCTGTGTCTATTTTACTTGGGTTACATTAGTTTTTGGTACTTGAACTGCGTTAGAATTTTTGGAAGATGATCCTGCCTTTATATTGATTCTACTTTCTGTAACCAATTTTCTATGCATGTTGCTCCTGTATATATAAATGTCTGTGGGTGACTAAGTGATGGGGAACTTGATGTTGCTCAACTTTCTTGAATTTCATGGAATATGTTTAATATCTTATTAAATATTCTTCTTACATATTGTTGAGATACAATTAAAATAAATCGAAACTCTATTCTTTGTAACTCTTTTTTTAGTAATGTGTTTTGGTAAGTCTAGTGATTGTGTCATATAGATCATGTTGCATACCTTTGCCTAGCTTCACACATACTTCATCCTTGACATCAGTGTGCAATTAAATTTTTTACTTTTAAGTACCACTAACATGTCATTGGCTCTGTACATTGATGAACTAGCGACTTGGGTTAGGCTACTAACCCTTTCTACTGTTACAAGGTTACTATACAGCTTAAGAAAGTTGGATTTCCATGACTATTGATTTAATAAAAGATTGGGTAATTGTTCTTCTTAAGGGATAAATATATAGATGTGCCAATTTCTAAATTTGTTCTAATCTTCAATTGAATTTTCTGACAATTATTTTTAATTTTTGATCACATAGTTTATGCCTTTATGCATTAATACACCACTTATTTTTGTCCAGATTACGGAAGATTTTCTCCCTATAATTTCAAGAATAAAAGCTACCACTGCTCCATTTGGAGGACCAAAGGGAGAAATATTATATGCACGGGAGCATGAAGCTGTTTGGTTCAAGGGAAAACGTTTTGCACCAGCTGTATGGGCTTGTACCCCTGGAGAAGATCAAATTAAAAATTTGAGACACGCTTTAGATTCGAAAGGTAGAAAGGTCGGCGAGGAATGGTTTACCACAATGAAGGTGGAGGATGCACTAACAAGGTTCATCTGTTGTTTATCGTTATTGAAGTTGCTCTCATATATTCTTCCTGTCTGATTCCTTGCCCTGCATTTTTTTTTTTCCTTTCGTCTTTGGATTGGAAATTAAAATGATAATATTATTAGAAGAAAGAGCATTTCTATTAAAATCAGAAGCTTCCAGGGCTCGCTGAATAAATTGAACGAACACTGAAATTTGATTCCCTGCCTTTTGCTCTTCTGTCAATTGAACTGTCATTTTTTATTTATTTTTGGTTTCAGGTACCATGAGGCAGGTGCCAAGGCAAAAACAAGGGTTTTGGAACTTTTAAGGGGACTTTCTGCTGAGTTACAAACTAAAATCAATATCCTCGTCTTTGCTTCCATGTTGCTTGTCATTGCAAAGGCATTATTTTCGCATGTGAGGTTGGTTTTGAAGGGTCTCCTAAGAAGTGATTATTGTTTGCTTTCCTATCTTGCAATTGCAATATTGTTTTTTCTAATCTTATTTATGGTATTGCCATTGTTATTTAAACTAGTTACTGAGATGTTCTTGAATTTCTGATATGACCAATAATATCTTTTTTGGTACGTAATAACACCCACACAACTCAACTCACACACCCACTAATTCCCAATGGGGACTTAAACCCTCAACCTCTCATATGGGAGGATGAGGAGATACCTCTTCGGCTAAAGGCTCTGTCGTACTATTACCAACAGTATTAGGTTCTGATTTTGCTCAACTCTAGGCAGTACATCTGGGTTGTCACTCATAATAAATGGGGAAGCTTACATATATTTTTGTACCTTCATAAACTAAGATGCAACCCTGTTTGGGCAGGTTTACTTGACATCAATTTGAGGCCAAGGTTTTGGTGCATCAATCTGAAAAACAAACAAAACCCAACTGGATACTGAAATTCATTTATTGCACCTGAGAACTGAGCAGACATACAGAAGTTTAATGATGTAAACAACTGATGACAACGACAACAATAACTGGAAAGAAGCAGAGCATCTTTATAATTCCTTGTTAGGTTGGTTCCAAATTTAATTAAACTGATGAGTAAATATATCTTGCGCATCTGTAACTGAGATTGTTACTGTTCTCGAGTTACACCGGTTTAGCTCAGACCAGCATAAAAAGAAAGAAAGAAAGTGAATGTTAAGAAAAATCATCAACTCAAACCGGCTGACAATTGCATAGGTGCCATCAAGGAGTTGATTTGAAATATCACATGCATTATGTCTCTTTAATGTGCAACAACAAAAAATGAATGCAATCATTGGTACACAACCAATTAGTTTTTTTTTTCCCCCCGGTTAAGCATCCCGCCAAAATTTAGCAGTTAATGCCTGTGTAATCATTCTTATGGTTAAGTAATATTATTTCAATGATAAATTAAAAGTTTTTTGTTTTATGATTGATCAATATTATGATTAATTATATAATAGAAAGAGTTAAAGTACAAGTACAACATGCATATGCACTGGATATAAAATAGTACTCAATATTTTGGAATGCTATTTTTTTTCCCTGGGCAATACTTTGGAATGTTAACATTTATTGTGATAAATTGCATTTATAAAAATGTCAACATGTAGTAAAAAAATTGAAAATCTACCCCCAATCTTCCACTCCCTCCCAAGGAAGTTTTGGGGTTTCTTCAAGACCTTTTATTACAAGTTCATGTGTGAACTTCTACATTAAAAACGAATTACGAATGAATTTTAATCCCCTTCCTTTGATTAATTTATGGACAAGACTTGCCTACTCACCGGTGAGTAGCGCATCCCTACTGACCGCTGATGTGGTCCAATTACAAATGCACAAATAGACCCTAATTACAAAATAAAAAAAGTGATAAATAAAGACTAACTTTTATTGAAATAAAATTCAATCACCCTCTCTGATTTCCTTATAACTTTCTTGATTTTGCAATTGCAAACTATGTGTGCATTTGTGATTGGACCACATCGGCGGTAAGTAGGAATGCCCTACTTACCGGTGAGTGGGCAAGTCTTGTCCTTAATTTATAGTAATCCTGAAGCATCCCACCTTTTTGTTTATTCTTTTTGCTCTGTATGTGTGTGTTTGTTTGTTAGTTTGTGTCAAGGAGCAAGTCCCATTTTTGAGTGGGCAGTAAAAAACACCTGAGATTTGAACCATGACCAAACATACATGATTTTTTTAAGTACATCTGGTGCTTTGATATATTTTTTCAAGTTCATGAACTTATTAATCAGACAATTCATATGATATGCCGCCTAGTTGCATTTATAGATGAACCTTCCCTCTGTTAAACACACAAATGTAGAAAGCCATAGGAGACTGCTTTAAGTTGTGCATCACCAAAATTGTTATTTACAGAAAATGGTATAGTGGCAAAAGCTTCACTGTCAACCGTCTTAGTAAGTTGGTTCTCACGACCTATGTTAGATGGACTTGATAATGTGTGTTGGATACGAGTACATGCGTCCGACGTGTCAAATCCCAAACAGGACACATGGACACTGCTAAATATTCATTTTATTTTATTTCTGTGGAGTAGAATAATTTTTTTATGTAACATAGTGACCAATATAGACATTTCACTCATTTGAAGTAATAATATAATACAATGAAATTATTAATTATGTTTTTTTAGGTGCATGTCCAACCAAGAGTGTCGGACACATATCCCATTCCCATGTCCCAATAATAATGTGTCTCGGACAAGGGTACTTCACCTACTTTGGAAGAGACCATGTAACATAGCTCATGACTCAAACTTTCACGAGTCATCATCTTACTATCTTAATCCATTTTAATTTTGGTCCCACTTTCCTCTAGCATTACAGAGTTATTGATATCCAATTACATTTTATTTACAGAACTCGTGACTGATTTATGAGTTTCATCTCTAGTGTAGAAATATTTTTTTCTTTGTTGCTTTTTTTGTGTTATTTTCGTTATTTTGAGGTGTTCAGGTCATGTAATTTATTTGACATGTAATCGCATTTCAATTTTTACTGTTTCCTTGGAATGAGAAAACTTCAAGGCATCTTTGTTGATATTTTACAGTGAAGGGAGAAGAAGGAAATGGGTTTTTCCTACTCTTGCATGGTTCCGCAGGTCTAAGGTAGTGTCAACAAGCCAACTTACTACTCTGATATTATTATATGATTTATTCTGGCCCCCAAAATATTTATTTACTGAAGTTCTATTCAAGTCAAGGGTTAATATCATATACTTGGGATTGGCTGTCAGGATCCATTAAGGTTTGAAAATGTTATATTATGAGCTCTCAGCCTGACAATAATCCTCTTTGAAAGATGCCAAAGATCCTGGAAGGTTAATAGGGTTGTTGGAAGGATCTGTTGTGAGAAATAGTGGATAGGCTGCTGGTTAAAAGGCTTGTTTGATACAGTAAACTGCATTCATATTTTAGCTTTGGCAACCTAAGAGTGCTTAATGCAGAGCCTATATCAACTGATGTTTGTGTTTGGAAAGGTGAGCAACGGAGGACAGCACTTTAGATCTTTCAACTAACAGTTTGTAGAATGGACACTGTTGAATTAGACCATTGTTTTTATTTTTTTATTATTTCTGATTCTTTTCGCCCGCCCTTGTTTGAGAAACTGACTTGGGTCAATGACATGGTACTTTTGGCTTCTTTCAGCTCTATGTTACTTTTTTAGAGCAACTGTGGTAAAGATAAATTAGGGTGGGCCATTTTCCTATACAGCATCTTGGTTTTATAGTACAGCAGAAACTACTAATGCTGTTGGAGAATAATTATACGAGTGATTTAAGCCCTTAAATCACTCCTTGACAGAATGTTAAGTTGCTATACTTGGGCAACAAGTTGTCCAATAAATACTACGTTTTCTTCTTTCGATGTTCAGACATCATACTCTGGCTGCCTTAGGCCTTGCTGATATCATTACATTTTAGTTTGGTTTTGGTGAAAAAAGAATTATGCTGGTTTTATGTAGTTCAACACTAAACTGCACCAACCACTATAGATTCCTGGAGTTGATTCCTAGCTTGATTTTTTCTACCTATTGCATCTCTTATTTTCTTAAAGTAACCTCATTATTTGGATATTTTAACTGTGAATTTACTCATGTGAATAATTTTTGCACTTTTGAACTATCTGTGCCTTTTGATTGTAATGTTATGATGGTATAGGGCCCAGTACATATGTGCAGAGATACATCCTTTGCTATACTTCTATGACTTAATTAGTCTTCCATACCAATAACCCTGTCGTCTATCATATCAATCATTTTGGAAGACACATAGGATTACTCCATTATGATAATTTTCATCATTACTCCGTTATGGAAGACACATAGGATTTCATTTATGGGCGTTTTGAATGCAGGATACAGAACCACTAGATGGAGCTGATAGGATGAAGATAACTGGTTTATCACCATATTGGTTTGACGTAGCCCAAGGGAGTGCTGTACAAAATACAGTTGATATGCAATCCCTGTTTCTTCTGACAGGACCAAATGGGGGTGGTAAATCAAGCTTGCTTCGATCAGTTTGTGCAGCTTCATTACTTGGAATATGCGGCTTTATGGTGCCTGCAGAATCAGCCTTGATTCCACATTTTGACTCCATCATGCTACACATGAAATCTTATGATAGCCCTGCTGATGGGAAAAGTTCATTTCAGGTGCCTTATATGTTACATACTGCAAATTTTAATTTTCATGGTGCTTGTAATTTGTTTTTATGTGGTAAACGATGTCTCCAATGCACAAGCATATAGGACGCACACTCTGTGTTTTTAGTTTGTACAACACAATAATGACAATCATGTTATGACAAATGCAACGAACCCAAGTTGAATCAAGAATCATGACAGAAAAGTAAACACACCACACAAAGAACACAAAGATTTATACGTGGTTCGGTAACGGCCTACGTCCACGGTTGGGATCTGGCGAAAGTTTTCACTATGTGTAAAATCGGGGATTACAAGTTTTCTGCCCCTCACTTTGTTTTTGTACGAATTTCAGAGTCTCTTTGCCTCCACTCCAAACCCTAAGCGCCCTTATATATCGGGCTACAAGAGAATAATTAGGGTCCACGACCCATGAGCAAAAAACAGGTCAAAAATTTTCACACAAAGCTCATCCAATGGGTCGTTGGGTCATAAGCTGGTCGCAACGCGACCCAGCACCAAATTCGGGCCACAAATATCACAAATCATGTAGGTGGTGGTGGTACAGTTATGGTGGCAGTGGTGGCAGTTGAGGTGCAGTCTGCATATTAATTAGGTTTGACTAAAATTCTTAATAATCAGATGGCTGTATTGGTATAGTCATATTACTTGTAAAAGGATCTCTAAATTGACTTGTGGCTTCATTTAAGCAGAGATGTCTACAGTCAAATGAGTCCCACATAAAATGTTCTCCAGAACAGATGATTAAATGTATTTGATTATTTGGATTAAGAGGTTTTCTAATGTATAGTTCTATTGCTTTTATTTTACTCAGTTTTTTCCGACACCAACGGCTTGTTTTTATTTCTGCCATCTCAATACTAAGGTTGATTCTAATGTTATTTTGATTCAGATTGATCTTATTTGCAATGCTATACTGATTATACTTGAATTGGTATCACCTAGCACCTTCATTTTCTTACTGGTCAATTTTCCATGATCTATGCAGAATGAGGAATATGGTTAACTTAGACTAGAAACTTTTCCTGCCCACTTTCAGAATTGGTTTGGTAATACGTACCTATTGTTTTATCAACTAGACCATTAGATATGTTGCTTCTACTTATGCCAGGCTTACCAATTTATCATGGTGGACAAAATTTCCAATATTTGTATAATTATTGTATCTATTTGACTTGACATTGGTATTCGAGTTGGAAATTGTCTGACCCTCCAAACCTATGTCACCTTTTCATACAAACTTTTTGCTAAATCAAGCTGATAGACTTCATTTAGCATAATAAAACCCTGAGAATATGTTGTTTCATGTTACTGTTTATTTTTACTTTAGTGAATAATTGATATTAGACTTGTGAAAAAAAAAAAAAAGAAGAAGAAGAATTGATATTAGAGGAGGATTGTTCAGTTCATTACTATTTTCTTACTTTTCCTGTAAGTTTAATTAAGTGTGACATCCTTTTCTTACTTTACCTGCAGACTTACGTTTGTCTTGATCTCAATGTGTTAGATTGAAATGTCAGAGATCCGTTCTATAATAACTGGAGCCACTTCAAGGAGCCTAGTTCTTGTAGATGAAATATGCCGAGGAACAGAGACAGCAAAGGGAACATGTATTGCCGGTAGCATTGTAGAAACTTTGGATAAACTTGGTTGTCTGGGTATGGTATCAACCCACTTGCATGAAATTTTTAATTTACCACTTGCTACAAAGAACATTGTATATAAAGCAATGGGATCGGAATATGTTGATGGTCAAACAAAACCAACTTGGAAGTTGATAGATGGGATTTGCAAAGAGAGTCTTGCATTTGAAACTGCCCAGAAGGAAGGAATTCCTGAAACACTTATCCGAAGAGCCGAAGAACTATATTTTTCAGTTTATACAAAAGATGCACTTCAAGGAAGAAGTGACCAAAACCTAGAAATGTCTACTTCAGATATAAATGTCAACAGTTCCATTGTAGCCTCTGAAAAACTTAACGGTATTAGAAACAGGGCGATCCATTCTAAGATAGACTCAACAAAACATATGGAGGTTTTGTGGAAGGAAGTTGAGAGTGCTGTCACCATAACGTGTCAAAAAAAGCTGACTGAGCTTTACAAGAAAAAAGGTACATCAGAACTTGCAGAGATAAATTACGTTAAGATTTCTGCTAGAGAACAGCCACCACCATCGACAATAGGTGCTTCAAGTGTCTATGTGATGCTTAGACCTGACAAAAAACTGTATGTTGGAGAGGTATTCATCTGCCAGCATTAGTCAATTTTCTATATTGCTTGCAAGCAGTCTTGAAATGTTGTTGCTTCCATATATTGTGCATCATACATGTGTATTCCAATGTACTAAGTTTCTGCTCTTCTTCTGGCAGACTGATGATCTTGAGGGACGAGTCCGTGCTCATCGTTCAAAAGATGGGATGCAGAATGCTCCATTCCTCTACTTTTTAGTCCCTGGGAAGAGCATGGCTTGCCAATTGGAAACTCTTCTCATCAACCAGCTTCCCAATCACGGTTTCCATCTCAGCAATGAAGCTGATGGTAAGCATCGGAATTTTGGCACATCTGATCTCTCCTTAGAAACTGTGAGCTTGCATGGATGAATCTGACTCTCCATCCTTCATTATGTAGAAGATGTGAAGATAGAGTAGAGTGCATCTCCAATGTAATTTTGTTATTATTTGATTTGTAAATTAGCGAAAATCACACAACATGCAAATTTCAGTGGCAGCAGCAATTTTGTCCTTGATGCTTGCTCCACAATAGCAGTTACTCACATTGCCTTGTCGATGTCAACCAATTTTGTTGTTTTGAATCTTTTGGCACATCAAAGGCTGGCATATCGTGATGGAAGTTTGTTCATTTGTTTCCAGTCCTGATCTTCTTCTACATTACCGTCTTCTGGATTCGTTTCAGGTGCCGAAGCTGCATGACCTATTCTAGATTACAATCCCTTTGTTCCTTCATATATTCGAAATTCCGTCAGTTTTTGTTCTTTGGCGACGAATGCTTGAGTCACCTGAAGATATCTGTTGCAACTTGCAAGCAATGTGATGACATACGCATGAACAATGAACCCATGTATGGTAGAACCAGCAGTGAAGGTTACTAAGTTCTGGCAGTGTTTTTTTATTTTATTTTATTTTATTGTGTGTGTTTGTGAGGGTCACTGTTTGGTCCAGTAGAGAGTGTTGAGGCTGAAAATTACGATTCTGTGTATGAGAACAATAACTTTTTCCAAAATTAATATCAAATGCCATATCTTTTTCAAAAATTCATGGACTAGTGACATTTTTTTTCAACTGTGGAGGTCTGTAATGGCTGTATAGAAAAATGATATTTTTTCGTTAGAAAACACAGCAAACCATTAGTCGTAAGTCCTAACCTTAGTCATATATGCAGGCAAAACCTTTTTTTTTAATAATTCTATTTAAAAAAAGTTAATAAAATACTATAATTTATTTATATTGAAACAATTTGAATAAAGTTATACCCTTTGTAAAAAGAGACTAATTATATGGAAAGTAGAAATATAAAAAGTATTTTTTTTTTTTTTTTTTTGAAAGTTATGTTCACAATGGGTCTGTAGGGAACTCTCAACGAAACAAAATTTATAGACATGATCAAAAAGACAATTGTGACTTACAAATTAATTTTTAAATAAACATTATAGTGGTAAAATTTTAAATCTATTTGGGTAAAGACTAATAAAAATTATAGTGGTAAAATTTTAAATTTATTTGGGTAAAGACTAAACCATTCAAGTAGTTTGAAATTGACACCTCAAATACTTACCCCCTAAATTCATGCTAACTTTGTCTTTAAGTGAAAATGGAATAATTTAGAATTAAAATAGAAAATAATTTTAAAAGTGCGACTTATTATTAATCTGTAAGAAAAATGTATTGGTATAAGATTTATTTGTCTTTTATAGAAAAGGTAAAGTGGTAGTAATTTCCAGACTTCAGCGAGGGCATCTCAACCCAAGAGCCAAACGACTCAACCGTTTACACAACCGCGCCGTGCACAGGCCTTTCGCAGATTTATTTTCCTCCGTTTTCTTGGCAACCAAACAAAGCATTATTCAACGACGAACGAAAAGAATCAGAAAGACATTGTAGAGCTGTCAATGGACAAGGTCGTGGAGGCTGTAGAGAAGGCGAAGAAGGATTGGGACGAGACGTACAATCGAACCCAAGAGCACATAAGATCAATTGAAGAGTATGGCAAAAATTCAGAAAGATCTACTACAGAGGAGAGAAATTCACTGCCCAGATTGAATGGTCTCGCACAAGACGGCTTGGCTTTGCTCACATCATTGCAATTCAAGCTCGATCTTCTCGCCCCGCAACTCCCCACCGATGAGGAAGTTCAGTCCGCCCATTCCTTGCTCGAATCATGGAAACGCCAAATCCAAAGGCATAACTTCTCCCTCTAAAACTATGCACACACGTGTATATATATATATCTTCCTTCTTTGTTAATTTCTTTGATACCCTCTGTGTGATTGTTGGGAAAATGTTGAGACAAGAAAAGAATGTAAGATTTTGCCTTCTTTTTTTTGTTTTGCCAATTCAATTTTAGAATATTGTAAATCTGAAGCCAATGTGAGTAAATGGTTTATTGTAGTTTTGATTTTTTAAGCTGTATGTATTCACTGAATTCCAAGCCTCACTTACTATTTTTTTTTTTTTTTGTTTTTTACCTCTCCTACTATATTTCTGAGCAGCCAAACAGAGCATAAATTAACTATATTGTCATTTGTAATCACTGAACTTTAAGGTCACTTTCTACTTGATTTTTCTCCCGTAATATCACAGCCGAATGGAGAATAAATCTACTATGTTTCTTGTTAGTGTGTTTTTGGTTTGAGTATGGGTTATCTGACTGCGGGTTTGATAATGCCTTTTTTTCTTTTTTCTATTATTATTATTTTTTTTTTTTTTGTTTTATAGTTTGCGGTTGAGTCTAAGGAATGCTAATCTGCAAGCAAAGACAAACATGAGGAAATCTGCCCAAGAAGAGGTAATGAACTTCCTTTGCTAAATTATTTTAGTGGTAGATTTATTTGATAGAATGTTGGTCGTGATTTCATGCTTCTATGCCATCATCTTTGGGTACTTGATTACCTTCTTGTTGGATGAATAATTTGTTTTATGCTAATTTCCGAATTAGTTTGAAAACTTTGAAAGTTTTCCTTTCTGTCTGAGGCATATTGTTAAGAAGAAATTTTTTGGGTGAGGCGTTGATATGGTTATATTTGTTGTAGAGGAAGCTGCTTCTGGGAAGTGGAGAAGAGTCCACAATTCGCAGGCGCAATTTAGAGTATGTATTATGCAATATTGTTATCCGTAAGATATCACATAAACTATATTTATTTTTAAAATCTTTTGTGTGCTTATGATTAGGTAGTGGCATTAGATTTCCATGTTCTCTCGTACAATGCTTTACTGAACATGGTAGTTTGATAAGGAATATCTGGTTTGTGTTATTGTCTCAGAACAAAAGCTGGAATGACTTCTGCTGCAGAAAGCATCACAGATAGCCTTCGCCGTACGCGTCAGCTGATGGTTCAGGTTATTAATATCTAACATATTTTATTTTAATTTTTGCACATTTCATGACTTCACACGATGGTTCTTTGGTGGGATTTGCAATTTTGTTTTCTCACTATATTATTTTATGTTTTATAGGAGGTTGAAAGAAGTGCGAGCACGATCATGACTTTTGGTAGGTCACTTTTACTTAAAACAGATGAATGCATTTTATTCTTATAAATCCACCATCACATGGTCACAATAGCATTGCTTTTACCGCACTATTATATTACCATGTTTTCTTGCATTTTTTTTTTCTTTTTCTTTTTACTGATTGCTCAGTGTGATCTCCATAAATGAATATGCTTTTTGAAAATTTTTGGGTTGTTGATTCTGTAAGAAAGAAATAGATGTTAGATATTCATGGCATAATATCTTTGTGGGTAGGATAAAATTATTTAGTCTAATAAAAACAACCTTTAAGGTTTTGATCAACAATGTGGAAAAGAGATGGAAATTGATCAGCCAAACAGAAGAAATAAAAATGCTCATCCTTTTTTCCTGCTTATAAGGAAATGAAATATCTAGACAGCCTCTAGAAATGTTTGGGAAATGCCATTCATTGCAGCTCTTGAGTTCTTCTATTAGACTTGTGAATTAATTATGATATGTGTAAAACTACATCATCTACATGAGTTAATGTGGCCAGTCTCTTATTCTCTACATTCCTTTTCTTTCTCTAATAGTTTTTGGTGAGTTTTGTTCCATTTTATTTCAATTAAAATTTTCATCTCTGAAAGTTTCAACTTGTTAGGAGACTCTCTTGTTAGTGAACTGAACTTTCACGTTGAATTGGAAGAAGAAAAGAAAAGACAACACTGGTGTCACAGACTGAAGTTTAAGAAATGAATTAAGAGTATTAAAGAATTGAGATTGGTGATACATTTTGGAGATTGGCCATATCAATATTTTATTCCCAGTTTTTCTCCTCAAGGATTTTATCAAGTTTTAGTGGAAGTATACACAACTCATTTGAAGGTTTTAGTCCAGGAATAATGTGTAACACAAGAATATTATCCCCAAAAGGAAAAAGTACAAACATGGCACACATGCACATATAAACATACACAAACTAATGGATGATATGGCTTTGCAACTATTGGAATTATAAGCAACTAGTTTGATTGGCTCCCATTTTGTTTGGAAAATTTGGATGATCATAATGATGGTTGGTGTTGATTGCAATTGAAGCTAATGATGTGAAATTCACTGTCACGCAAGATGGAAGGATTACTAGATTACTAGAAAGAATTAGATTCCATATTTATGTTGGAAAAATATAATTTACATTACTTCTCCAATGAGACTTATAGCTTTAAATCTTTTTTATGTTACTTTATTTTAAAAGATTTATTATATTTGGCCAGTTAGTGTAAATTTGCATGGATTGCTTCTGTACCCTATGAGTCCGCTTCTTACAGTCTTGTCTTGGATGGGTCGCCCACTTCACTAGACATTGATTGCAGAGACCACTAACAAAGATGATGTGGTGGAGGTGTTACAGAGGTTAAGGGCACAACTCTGTGTCAAGATTAGACGTTAACTATTTTCTTTTTCAAACAATGTGGGGATTGGTTGTGGTAATGTATTGAAGTTAAAAGAGGATTCTTTCTTATGGATACTTTTGAGTAAATCTCGAATGAGACAGCTAGCTTGTCTAGTGATGGGAAAACAAGAATCAGCTCAAATGCTTCTGGAAGATTCTGCCCTCAATGCTGCTTTCTACAATCTAGCAAGAGCATTCTGGCCATAATAGCTAAATGTATTTAAATTTGAACTTGGTTAGCAAGTTTCATGAATTTTTACACAATTACAGCCCCATGAGTTCTGTATTTGTTGATGTTGTTGTTGAAGTTGGAACTTTAGTTTTGCAACTTAAGTGGGTTGTAAGGGATTGAAGCCTTCGAAGGCCAACTGAAAGATTGAAGAGGTTGTTCAATTCAATTCCAACCCGTCCCAAGCTCAGGTTCAAAGTGTTCCAACTCTAGCTCAGTATAGGTTGGGATAGGATGGTTGGTTGGGTTGGGTAATTAATATATATATATCATGAGTGTTACATATTGTCTTTTTTGATCTCTTATCTCAGTGTTCTTCCATCTGAGATAATTAAAGAATACACCTTAACAAGTTTAAAAACCCAATAAACAGAAAGCTAAAGAACTTGTAAGAAGATGGCAGCAATCTGACAATGAAGAAGTTGGATGATGATAAATCACTATGGTGATTTAAATTAAGAATCATTAAGATGAATCAATTTAAGTGCTGCTTATTTTTAGAGTTGTTTATGTTGTGTGGAAAGTAATGCTCCACTTCAAGTCTTTTTAATTATCTCATGAGCCACAACTAAACAATGAATGCATTGGATTTTGTAGAGGATTCAACAGGAGTATTACGGAAGGCTGAAACCGAGTACAAGGGGCAAAGCTCATTGCTGATGCGAACCAGGAACCTACTCTCCACAATGCAACGTCAAGATATCCTCGACAGGTATCCAAGAAACCAAATTGTTTTTATCTTTATTTTTTATTGACGCGACTTCTATTTGCAAGTCTCACAATCAATTCTTCTGGGCAGGGTGATACTTGCTGTTGGTTTAATCTTGTTCTCCTGTGCTGTTCTTTATGTCGTTTCAAAGCGAATTGGGATACTCAAGTTGCAGAGAACGGTTACTGCAGCCATTAAGGCTGGTATGGCTGGGCAAGCAGAGCATGGACCTGGAGCAGGTTTAGATGTCAGAAACCTTGCTCGGTTCCATGAAAATGCTGTTCCTAAGGTGGAGATACCCTTAGAACAACCCATGCATGATGAACTTTGAAGTTTCAATATCAGTATGTATTAATAACTAAGTAATATCTTTCATATGCCCTTGAAGCTCTTGAGCTTTGTTTCACACTAACAGAAGTACATTATGCAATAGCCCTCTTTTTATATTGTGTATAATTTGGTTTACTAGAAATGCTTAAGTTTGGTTAATTGTTTGGAGTGCACTAAATTAGAAGTTAGTATATGGTATGAAGTCAGCATTGCAAATGCGAAAAGCATAAATTGAGCATATTCAGTAACCAGAAGAAACAAATGGTGTTTGAAATTTCACTATACAGAACAGTGAATCAAATTGATCTGTTTCTGTAGGAACAAAATATGGAAACAATTAATGAACTGAAATTTAACAAACTGACTGGAAAAGTAGTAAACTATGAAGAGTGCAAGCAATTTCTCAGGAACAAGTGGCTGAATCCATCCAAGCTTATGCCAGGAGCCAAAAATTTTTGTGGGTTTTTGTATTGAGAAGATAGCCTGCATTTTGGCTCTTTTTCTGCACTGCAACACAGGTACACTTGCTGTTCTCAATCAAATACTCTGCTGTGTCTATTCCTCTTAATGACCCAAGTGACCCATTCCGCCTATGTCTGTTAGTATGTACACACAAATACCAAATTAACATGAACAAACAATGTTAGAAAGAAAGACAATCACTTGCTATAATTTCATAGAAGGCAAATTCATCTGGTTTTTTTTTTATACCACTTTTAATGATTGTAATTTTTAATGAAATTCAGTAACGAGTATAACGTGTGTTTTACTGTATCGAACGGATCTCATCTCACACACGTGTAAGCGTTCAGACGTGCAAGTGTTGGGATTCGTCTGATGTAATACGAGTGTTTTACTATATTGAACGGATTTTAGCTCACACACGTGTGAGCGTTCAGACGTGCAAGTGTTGAGATTCGTCTGATACAACACGCGTGTTTTACTGTATTGAATGGATTTTAGCTCACACACGTGTGAGCATTCAAATGTGCAAGTAATGTCCCGCATTGGACGGATCCTGCCTCTATTTATTGAATGACATTTGACCTAATTTGTTATAATCCGTCTTAATAAGACGAAAAAGATTGTTACTCGAGGATGTTGAATAGTGAACACCTAGCTTTGACCTATTAAAAAATATCATGCTTATTGGGGGTTTGATGTTACCAAAAATAAAATTAAATGCTACAAGGATAGAAATTTTTTAACTTGCATGGTCCAATCTTTAAATCAAATGACACTCCTTGTGAGAATGAAATATTTGAAAAAAATTTGGGGGCAGACTCACCCTAATATTGCATTGCTAAGTCTCCATCGTTGCCCAACCACAACGAGATCAGCTGCATGCACCGTGCAATGATGAATAACTACAGAAGGCTTGTCCTTGCCATCCAGTTCTACCCTCTCCACCTGCACACGTAGCTTCGGATGTGCCATCTCGGAAGCATGCTTCATTGCTTCGAGAAAGTCAACATCCCCTCCGGCACCACCACCACCACCACCACCGCCACCACCCCCTTCTGTGGTGGAGGAGCCGGTGGGGGCCGGCCACTTGAAGAAGTTAATGGGGTTCCTCCATGCATTTGGATTCTTGACATGGAGGAGGATCAATGTGTCGTGTTCAAGGACTGCATGAGAGAGGGCGTATTGGAGCGCAGCTGCTGACTCGCGCGTGGGGTCCGCTACCACTATGATCTTCCGTGGTGGTGGTGTGCCGCCGCCTGCCATGGTGGGTGGTTCTACCATGCATCAATGGCCACCCACCACCATCACCAAAAACAATAGAATGGGGTATTGGACAGGTACAATGGAATATAATAAGAGGTGGTTTTTTTTTATTTTATTTTTGTTTTTTTATTATTTTATTATTTTTGTCTTTGATCATCAGAAAGGACTGACACCATCAACCAACAATTTTTAATTTGTGATTCACAACTTAATATCCTCATTCTTTTGTGCTAAATTTGCGGGTATGTTTATTTTTAGGAGGCAATCAACAAGACCAGGTCAATGCCTGCTAGGAGGGGTTTTCATTAGAAGTCTACATTTAGGTCAATTTTATAATATTACAAGGTTATTAAGGAGTGTCTATTTAGAGTTTTTGACCAAAATAATGTTATTTATCTATAAAAAAATTTCAACATTATCAGAATTATTAATCGATGATGTGCTGTTTTGAAGATGTTGTTTAATTTGAGATATTTCTACTTGTGGAGATAGATCCTAATGATCTATCCCCTCTTTATCAAGATCAATTGTACAAATATAACACACTTTTCGCAATATAATACATGATTATGTAATACATTTTTATTAAAGATACAAAACCTATACAATATTTTTTACATCTTGTTATAACTCTATAATATCATTAAATTGACAATTTAATATATTTATATTATTATTACATTATCGATTTAAAGTTGTTGTCTTTACGGGATAAAGTAATTATATTAGATACAGAACATACATGAAATTTTAATAAATTTGAAAAGAAATTGTATTGAGAAGTGATTTGTATAGAACTTGCGACTTAATAACACGTAGGAAAGGATCTTGACTCGCGAAAAACATAACTCAATTCATTTGCTTGTAATTATTTGCTTGTAATTATTTTGGATCTAGCGATGATTAACTCATACATTCTTCTTGACCTATTTTACCTTAGACTTTGTTTAGAGGGAAAAAAAAAAATATACTTAAAAGTGAAGGGAAGAAAATAAAATTTTCAAACTTAAAGAATCAATACACCAAGATACATATTTATATATTTTTAATTTAGTCATGTGCGTGTATATATTATGGAGTAATATATATGTTTAAATAAACTATTGAGTCCAATTCGATTTTAATGAGATTTTTTTATTTTTTTTTAATCCTAACAAACTAAAAGAAGAGGGATTCAAAACACCGATACACATGCTCCCAAGTTAAGTCATTTTATCAACTACGCCACCCATTTTAATGGGATCTCAAATTAGAAAGGAAAAAAAAAAAATTAAACCTAAGTTTAACGGTTATCTATTTTTAAAATCCAAATAGGATTAGCAGAACCAAATCGAATCATACCAATTCTATCTATTTTTAAAATCCAAATAGGTTGGATTCGGTTTGAACTTTGAACCGATATACCAATTCTACCTGTTTTTTGTGCAACTCTCGTGTGAATGAAAATTATCCCTAGTCACTAGTGAGTAGTGCGCTTATTCTCTTGCTTATGAATTCAGGGACAAAATTGTCCCTAGACCATATATATATATACACACGGACGTTTGGTGGTTGTAGTTTCGAGTGGACGAGGATGGAGATACTTCAACAGTGGTGGAAGCTTAGGTTTTCGTTCCGGAACGCGACGATCATCGTCTGTTTCTTCAATCTCGTCACTGTGATTCTCTTGCTTCAGGGTTTTCTCTCTGCTTCCTCTAATCGCAAATTATCAACAACTCAATCAAATTCAGGCCAGTCCTCTCTCTCTTCCTTCACTCACATTCTTCCACAAACATAATTATGAATACACTCATATATGTATCACCCACATACTGAATTTGTTAAATGTTTAAACTTTTGTGTTGGTGATGAAATGGGTTATTAACTATGATGTTCATTTTATGATGTTTGGATCTCAATGTCAAATTTTATGAAAAATTCGTTTGGGGTTTTAGGGATTTGTGTTTGATGATGAACAGTTGTTTGGGTTTTGTGTTAGGTAATTGATGTTTGATTCACTTTTCTGTACAATTGTGGCCCTTATAGTTATAATTGATGAGCACTGTTAACTTATTCATTGACAGTGTTTCGAAGAGTGATGATCTTATCAGCTCTATAGACTTAAAAATTGCTTTTACGCAATTTTCCAAGCCTGTTCATGAAGGAAAGATAGATACTCATATAGAAATGCAGATTTTCTGTATTTTCAATCTTCTTTCTGGATTCAAGACTCAACCTTATTTTTACTTGATAATGTGAAGTATGATATTTAGAATAAAAGGGGTCATTGCTTGGTGCAATTGGAAAATCATGGACTGTCAAGCGTGGGTGAGAATGTAGATTTGAGTATTACCTCTGTTAATTTATGTAACATAATACCAAAAAGTTAGATCCGTTTATTTTCCAGTTTTCTGAACAAGGATGCAGTGGGATTTTTGGATTTTCAAAACTTCAAATTGAAATAATTCGTGTTTTGGATGATTTAAGTTTCAACCGTGTTGCAAGTTGAGGAGTTAAACATGTATTCATATCTAGGTTATAAACTTCTGTGGATTTTATGTATGCTTTCATAAAAAATCCACCTTTTGAGCAAAGTTCAGGGTTGCTAGCAGCTGGAGAAAACTTTTGGAACAAGATTAATATGGCCGACTGTAAACACAATATACAAGAGTTGGATTGTGTTTGCTGATTTTAGAGGCACTTTTTGAATGAATGCATCAAATGAACATGAGGAATTGAACTCGGCAAACATAAAGAAACAAAATGATATATGGATTTATGTTTTAAATGTTGTTATTAAAGTTCAAAAAAACACAAATTAGCAATTTGTGACTCATACTTTCCTATTCATGAAATGGCTCAAAAGATAGCATTATTTTACGTGGAACACTTCGTTAGTGTGGCTATTAGTGATATGCTTTTGATTCTGTCCAAATATATTTCCATATATGCAGGGTACATGTAACACTTGATGAACGACGTACATTCTGATTAACTAGAACATTTGTTTTATTTTTTTAAAATGCAGTTCAACTTAGGTATATTAAGGAATCTGAAGAGATACGCCGAGCCATGGAACCCTTACAATTGATAAAAAGAGTAAGTATGGGGGTGGCTTCATAGTTTTATCAACTTAATATGTATCTGCTTGAAATTTTTGTATTGAATAGACATAAGTGATGAAGTGCCACTCGTAGAAGTTTGTCCTGAGCTTGAGTTATATTTTTTGCATTGAGGTTGATTTTGATATCCCTTTTTTGCACATTTCCTTATATATTATATATATATTTAAGTAGTTCAAGCTTATAGTCTGAGATACATCTTGCACCGAAATTGAAATGTTTAATTTATTAGGTGAGGGAAATTGAGCAAGAAGCATACACAGAACCAGAGCTTGTCCAAAGGAAAGACACAAAGGAGACGGCTGCAATTGACGTAATGTCAAGGTTGAACAATATTCGTTCTAATTCAGATGCTGCCAGCCTAAAAGGTGACCAACTTATCCATAACATAAGTTGCTATTGTTGTCTCTCTAAACCAATCGAAACCCAAATTTTGGTTGGATTTGGGCAGTCTATTGAAGCTGGGGTTGGACTGTCATGCCCCAACCCATACTTTGGGATTTCTCATCCCATACTGTACATGACATGACTAAAATCATATTTCACCATTCACTACAATATATATGACTGAAGTAACAATAACTTGTAATAACTCAACTCTAACATAAACCACTACATAGGTCCATAAGGTCATCCACCATAGCAATAACAGAAAGAAAAAAAAAATCAAGTCAACATTACATTATTCCTCACTACATGAGTCTGTCAAACCAATACATATGTAATTCCCCTTGCTTTATGAAAGAGATGCAGTCTTTCATATGGTACTGATTCTATACATTAGACTCCACTCATAGCTCCAATGATGGAGGGAAAATACATGTGTAGTTCCTCATAAATTAATTAAAATTTAACAGGTACCTTAGAAGTTGTGTAGGTACGCCCTTGAAGTAACTTCCATGTTTTTGAAAATAGATATTACGATCCCTGAGCTTGCTGTCCATTCATAACACGTTGTATCACATCATAACTTTTTATAAAATTTGAAATCTGATCAAACATTCCCAAAATAACCTTTTCCATTTGATGTTATGGCGTGTTAATCGAAATTAGCTGCAAATAGTTGGATGGAAAAATTACACAATTGTTTGTATTTTTTATTTAAGCATCATTACCCTGTGTGTTCTGTTAATCGATAGTGCTGAGAGGAGTGGCCTGAATATTAAAGTAACCTTTCAAACTCTTCTTCTAATACTCAACTGTTCAAGCATTTTACCAATACACCAAATATGGCCCCTTTGAGTTATGTTTGTATTTTTCATTTATTGATGAATATATAGCTGCATTCTTTTCAGGGCATAGGACTAGGCTGCTAATTATGTCCTTGAGTTCTCAATCTTTAAGGCATGCCTCGTTGTCCATTTGCAGTGTTAATTTTGAACTTCTATTCTTTTTTCTTTTCTAGGTGAAGTCTTAATAAATGTTGTAGCTCATACTTCTGCTCAGCATTTCTTTAGTATGCACAATTTTGGTAGTTTGATCAAGATATGTTATTAACCCATAAGTTCAAAATTTTAGAGATTGATCTGGATATATCAACGTTTTATTTTTTGTTTTTCTTTTGTTCATTTTTGGTAGTTTGTTCTTTTTCGGTAATGCAATGATGGACTCTTTCTGATATGTTTTGAATTTTCCAGCTTTAGAGGAATGGCGTAAACGGAAGACTGAACGGGCACGACAGCGACAACTGGGTAAAAATGGAACAGTTATTTCACAAGCCTGAAATATTTGTCATGTCCAAATGCATATAAAGTCCCGTTTAAGAACATTGGGTAACTTGTTAAATAACTTCTTAAATAAGTTATGTACATCATGCAACTTTCCTTTGAGAGCTTCTGTAATCCGTAAAGACCAAATCCAACAGCCTTGCGACAACAGAAACTGGGTTTTGCTTTTCTTTTCTCCCACCAGAAGTGAACGATGCACTTGTAAATGTTCAAGAGAGAGATTTGGCCGGAGCGGATTCAGTTTCTTGATTGCACACATGGTGGCATGGTACAACACCATATTTGCAGTCTCAAATAGTTCACGTGTTCTTTTGGTTTTGCATTTGTGTTTTTCTTGTGTCAATGAGCTCTAGGTTCGTGAAACTCATCTTGCTGAGAGACTTGATAACAGGAGAAGAGGCACTGCTTTCCGTCAACCATACTGGCTGATGGAGGCATGTTAATGGTATGCTTAGCAGGAACACTTGGTAATATCTTGAAATTTGCTAAGTTTTTGTGATGGGTGGTGATGAAGAAATAATTTTTTGTAAAGAATTGTAGAGCTATCTACTTCATGCAAGGATAAGAATCTCTGGGTTAGACATTTTGATTAGAGAATCATTATCCAATAACGTAAATGAACTTGAGTTGTAAAACAAAATAATAATAATAATAATAAATTATATATATATATATATATATATTCCATGTGTCGCTCATTTTTATGGTTTTTAGTTGGTACACTTTTGCGGAAGTCTAGCACCCATATTAAAGCTTGTGTGTATGCATACTGTATACCAGGGAAGAGGGGGCACTTGGACCTATATATGATTAGGGCCGAATGTACATGTATCTAATTCTGGATGAGATATTAGTGAGCCGAGCATATCATGTTATTTGGTACTCGACTAATAAAAATTTATCATATAATAAAATTAGTCCCATCGCATAAAACAAAAAAGCGTTTTACAAACTGATTTGTTAAATTTTTTATTAGGTAAGCATACCAATGATAGTAGCATAAGGTCAAGCCTCAACTATACTTGCTCATAATGCTTGAAGTTAACACGATAGGTACAAGAGCTCCCATACTCTCCGTTTTAATCAATGATTTATTTGAACTTTTACTGATATTGAAAGTCAAGTCTCAACTTAGTGGTATTAATAGTATTACTGTTTTTTAAAATATAGCTTTTTTAAAATAAAAATAAAATAATAAAGCTAGTGTATACGCCTTCGGCCGAAACAAGCCCAAACAAAGTTGGGACAACAAAAGCCCACCCTGGTACCAAACAATGCCGTTATTAAAATCTGTAGAAGTTTTGCATGTGATACAAGTGTCATAGACAAGGTAGAAGTGTGTGACTGCTGGGCTGTAATTTTAAAAAGGTACTGTTGAATTTTTGCATGTAATTCAAGTGTCATAGATGATAGAGTAACACTTAAAAGGTACAGGTCCCATATGTCACTATTCACATGTCACTGTGCATATATTTATATATATAAGTACACTTAATATTTATATATGTACACACACACAATGACATTGTTTCTTTCACATGACATTGTCTTTTTCATTAAGGTACATTTTGTTTTGTTTTTTTATTGTCTTTCATATTATATGAGTAAGAATTTTTCATGTAATATGAAAGTTAATGAAAGAAAAAAAAAATTAAAGAGAAAGAACTAAGATGAAAAAGAAGAGAAAGGAAAGTCAACAGAGGTAGGTTTTTATAATTTTTTTGTAAAAAAAAAATAAGTATGTTCTAAATTGTCAACAATTGAAAATTTTGAAATTTTAATGGTCGGGCATACCCTAAATGCTGAGTTATGAACTTACAAGGATAATTGTTTGTTCTGGATTACATACTTTGGTCTCTCAACTGTATATATAGTACTTATTTTATCTTGTATGTGTTTTTTCATAAAATAGAGAGATTAAAAACTCTCACAAAGTGTGTTCACAGTCCGTTCGAGTTCAACGAGTGAGTGTTCACAGTCCAAGTGAAGGTGGGAACCCTTCAACTGAAGGAAGGTGTCGTTAAAGGCACATAGGGTACACAATGCTTGACTTGATATTGGTGTTGTGGGTCCCGTTTGTATGAATTGGATAAATGATGTTGAATATTTAAGTTAAATGAAATACTATTTGTTAATTAACTTGGAAACTTACATGCCTCTTTCAGCTCACACTATTTTCAGGTGATAGATTTCGAAAAGTAAAGTTGGTATTTCTTGAAAATGTTTGTTTTGGCGATTTAGTTGGAATATTGGAATTTATTTAAGTATTAACTAATAAGCCAGAATCATAGTTTGCGGTATCGGACAATGTGCTACTCTCCGGTGATACGGTAATGCGCTACTCTTTTTTTTTTTTTTTAACTCCGGTATGCAATCCGTATTGGCCAGTTTACGTCCGAGTAACCATGATTGGAATATATCAATGAGACTGATGAATAACTGAGTATTCATAAGGTGCCAACTTCTGGCTCCTCTATGATAGAATACTCTATTGCTCTCAGAAAATTAAAACCTGTATGACTCAACAATTTTTTTTTTATCCAAAATTTCAAACACACACACACTCGCAAACACATTCGCTACACCGAACACACACATACCCTCGCCATATATATATTATGTGCGTCCAACGAGCTCAAACACTCAACCTCATCATTTATGACTCATTGATGACACCTACCCGTACAGATGCATCAAAAATAATTTATTAATAAAATCCAAGTTAGATCAAGAATGAGCTTCACTATTTTCCTCATCTTCACTCTCATTACAGGAAGATAGTTGTCAGCAGAACACCAAAGAGGTATAATAATAATAATAATAATAAATTAAAGAAAAACGATCTCTAACAGTACAAGTTTTCCCAATGCATTGCCAATATGAACAGCTTGAACCAAATGCAGAACTAAAAAAATTACAGACTCACAGTACAAAAAGCTAGTAACTTTTTTGGTATTCCATAACCAACTGTTATTGGTTGCTCCATATTCTTAGCCGGGCAATTGCCATAGCAAAGCAGAAAACAAACTCTACAATCTCTTCCCTCCCTAAAAGAATAAAAAACACAAGCATTCATTATTGGCACATTACCCTTCTGATTTATCCAATGACATGAACAGGTCAAAGCATTGCATTGCATTAATCTATCAGCTAATGCACTGATATGTTGTTACCTGTACAAATTTTATCCAAATTCTACTTCATATATACAAGCAGAAATACAAGGGAGGTTCATACAGTCGCGTACAAGTTTGCAAACCTTGTCGAGTCTTTTCCGGCGGACAATCGTCGGTGAAAGAATTTCTTCCTGGAGTGTGGTAAAATATGATGTCCAACAGAGACACGGCAGCAGCTTAAATTTGAGTATGATCTTTCAATTCAAGTCAATATGCTTCCTTTCTCCTCTATCATCTGGGAATCTACATAGCATTGTGAATTGAACATCAGAAAAAAGAAAAACCTGATGCTGGAGTCAGAATTTTCAGAAATAATATGATTAGTTCAAGTGAGGAACAACAATCATTCCTTATCACCAACATCACATCTCAAAATATGATGCATCGCATTGCATTTCAATAAACAGAAATACACAATAATGTCACTAGTATTCAATGCTTCTTACACTTTCTTTTGCTATGCAAACTTGAGCTTTAACCCAAATTGCATCAAATAAAATAATACCAAAATCTTGATTCAAATATAAAGTTTACAGTGTTGCATAGTTGAATTATTGTTTTTGGTTTGAATGAGTTTAACTGCAGTTATGAACTATACTTGGTAGTTTTTTCAGGTAAGGTTGATACTGCTCCTAAGGATTTCCTTTCCTGTTTCAAATGAAATAAATTAGAAAATTTAAAGCTAATGGTTCCAGAAGACTGGGTAATAATTTTCCAAGGGAGTCAAAGCATTGATGAATGGTGTTTGGAGAACTCCTCAATGCTGGCCTACTGAAATTCTACTTTTCTTGAAAATCAGAGATCTTTGGCTGAGAATAGAATCTTATGGAATTCTGGGAATTTTAGTTTCAAATATGTATGGTTTAAATTGGTCTGGACTAATAATAGACCTAGGAATGCTATTAATGCTTGTTTGCTTTTACAATGTGCATTTCCTTCTTTTTTTCAACTTGAAGAGGAGAGGTATTTGTCTTACTTCTATATGTCATCTTTGAATGAGAAGTGAGGATTCCACTGTTCATTTATTCTGGTCTTGTTTTTTCTCTTATGAATATGGGAATGGTTCTTCGTAGCCTGCAAGTGGGAGGGTTTCAATTCTCTTAGGCCTAGTTTGGTACACGAGAATGAAATGGAATGGGAATGGGAATCGGAATGGAACGGTCATTCTCATTCTATTGTTTGGTTGCAAATATGAAATGATGTAGGAATGAAATGATAATCACCATTCTAAGTGGTGGTGGTGGAAGGCGATAGCGATGGAAGTGGTGGAATGCAATGGCAACGGTGATGTTAGAAGGTGGAGGCGGCAATGGAAGGCGGTGGCGGTAGTGGAAGGCGGTGGCAGTGGTGGCAGAGGAAGGCAGTGGCAGTGGTGGTGACGGAAGGCAATGACGGCGGTGGAGGGTGGTGGCAGTGATGATGGCGGAAGGCAGTGGTTGTGGAAGAAGGCGGTGGTCAGGCATTACATTCCTTGAAATGAATTTTCATTCCATCAATTTAGAAGTAGAATGGATTTTCATTCATTGGAATGAATTTTCAGAAGGGTCATTCTCACTTTAAATGTTATACCAAACAAGGGAATGGTTGGAATGGATTGTCCATGACATTCCTGCGTACCAAACTAGGCACTAGATCTTTTCAAGACTTGATTCAATGGTTCATTGTTTTTACTGATTCTTCTCATCTGAAGATGAAATTAACAAGGAGCTTATTAATGTAATTCTGTGGCAGATTTGGAGGGAGAGGAACCTGAGGTTACATGTAGACAAGTGCAGGGATGTGGCAACTATTTGCTAGAGAAACTTGGCATGTCTTCAGTTAAGTCTAAGTTTGGAAGATTTTCATGTAATTTTTGAATGAGTGGTTGGTTTTGGTTGCCTTTCTTTAGGTAAACAATTTCAGTTTTATTTTTGGGTTAATTTAATAAAAAACACTTTAAGAAGCCTTATTTACTATAATGTAAACACTCAAAAATAAACTCATCAAAAAAAACTTTAGGAAAAAATAATTACAAATCTATCAATTTTTACTTTCATGATTACATGGAGACCAAATTACCCTTAAGTACTTTATGTAATTTACTAAACTACCCTTGCTTCTCTTTCCATCTCATCTCTCTAACCATTACCAATCTGAAATTTACTCCTCTTTCTCACCATTTGCAGACCTAAGGCACACTTCCATCCTGAGAGACCCATTTCAGACAAGACCCATTTCTAACCCTCATTTTTCTCTTTATACTCTCTCTCATGAATCTTGAAACAAAGACCCATTTCAGACAAGAATTTTCACATTCTATTTCTCATCTCTCTCTCGCTTTATATGTCTATTATTTGGGTTTCTTCTTCTCTATCTGGGTCTCCGCAAGATCAACTTCGAACCCTTATATCTCAGACCTTTGTTGGCACTACCTACTCTTGCGAAAGAGCACAACACGGAGAAGAAGAATGAGTTGTCAAAAAAGATTCACTACACTCATGTAAAACGTTCACTGTGCTGATGTAAATTTTTACTGAATAATGTAAAATCTTTATTGAATAATGTAAAACTTGCACTTAAGCAAAGTAAAACGGTAATTGCAATAATGTAAAATCTTTACTGAATAATGTAAAACTTTCACTTAAACAAAGTAAAACTTCAATGCACTCAAGTATTGCACGAACATGCTTCCAGTCAAAACAGATTCAGCATATTTATGATAGAAAACATTATGCATCAGGTCATATATATAACAAGAGCTATCAGCCAAAAAAAAAACAGAGCATGATATCATCGTCAAGGTAAGCATCAAGCCTCATCAAATGGGTCTTGTCTAAAATGGGTCATGTCTGAAATGAGAAATAGAGCGAGAGAAGAAGAGACCCAAATAGCAAACAAATAGAGCGAGAAAGAGAGATGAGAAATAGAATGGGAAAATTCTTATCTAAAATGGGTCTTTATTTTAAGATTCTCGAACAGAGAGAAAGAGAAGGTATAGAGAGAGATGAGGGTTCGAAATGGATCTTGTCTACATTGGGTCTCTCAGCACAGAAATGTGCCCTAATTCTGCAAATTGTGAGAAAGAGAAGTAAATTTCAGATCGGCAATCGTTAGAGAGATGAGATGGAAAGAAAAGTAAGGGTAGTTCAGTAAATTCCAGAAAGTACTTAAGGGTAATTTGGTCTCCATGCATTCATAAACAGTAAAAATTGACAGATTTGTAATTACTTTTGCCTAAAGTGTCTGGGTTTATTTTTTAGTGTTTACATTCTAGTAAATAAGGCTTGCTAAAGTGTTTTTTTATTAAATTAACCCTTTTTTTTCCCTAGGGCTATCCCCTCTGTTCTATGTATTATTTTGTATATATCAACAAAATAAACACATTCAAGAAGAAAAAAAATAGAAAATTTAAAGCCTAATATAACTTTTCTGGTTGTAGGGGTCAACTGTAATATGAATATTAAAATGGCCAGAAGAAAGGTTCAGCTCCAAGATGGGCAGTTCCACTTCCTACTAGAGCCAAAGACATTGACAATTATTGCAAAACCCGCCATAACCGAGAACCAAACCACTTCATAAGCTGGCTAAGCCGGTAGAGCAATTGGTCTTATATCAGTAAATAGATACAATTGCATTACATGAAGAAGGGGACTATCCCATACTACTAAGACTAGCCACGGTCCACATAAAACAGAGATTTTGGGAGGATTTATTTCCAATGTGGGACTGGATGTTATCTACTCAGAAATCACCCTGCAATGCTCTTCCCATAAATTCCAAATTATGCATAGTGGGGCTGCACTCAAAACTATCCAACCTATAAAAGCCGCCACTTTTAAGATCCAACTTAAAAACAGCTCCCCCATCAAGTTGGATACCACCCAGTTCACTCCAAACAGAACAAAAGAGAACTTCAAGATCATTTTACAGTGGATTAGATTTGTTTTAGTTAATTAACTACAACAAAATGCCTATTGCAGGCATTATCTCAACAAAAATACAGACTAACCCACTAAGGAAATGTCTACATGCTATCCCAGTATCCGAAAGAACAGCTGCGTAGAAATTACCCTAAAAGAACATTATAGAAATGCAATAACCCATTCACGAAGAGAAGTATGAAATTTCACATCATTCAAATCTCATGAAAAAAGGCAACTATCTGCTTCATCATAGTATCCCTAGATAGACTAGCACTACAAAAGTGTTTCCTGTCTGTCAGTATCTAAAAGAGTGGCTGTGTAAAAACGACACTGAAAAGCTTAACAGACATGCAGTAGCTGAGTCCAACCATCATAAAGACGGTATGAAGTTTCACAACATTCAAATCTCATCAATGACATCTAGTCCCATCAAAATAAGCCTTCTAACAGTCATAGTTATAAGCGCAGCAAGTGGAATAAATTTTTCTAGTGCCCCTTCAACATTAGCTGGAATTGGATATTAGAATAAGCAGAAAGGGTGCCAGAATCAAAACATGGTACACACTCAGAAATATGTACACTAAAAGTAAGCTTTTGTAGAGACAGAGCTAGAATGTAATAAAGATGCTATATTTTCAAAAGATGTCTTCTTTAAACCAGCTATGAATAATGAGAAGTAGCACTATTAAACTGCACATTGTCCGTATAGTTATGAATTTTTAAAATTGAAATAAAACATGTAAAATCATTAAAATAAGTGTATGCACTTATGTCTGAGTCCATAACTTACCATGTCCAATTTTCCTACCATTTTACTCTTAAATGGAAAATAAAAAGAAGATAGTTTCAAAATGAAGGTGTTCCATACTTCTAAAACATGTGCTCCCAAAAAGAGAACAAAAAGTTGGTCCTGGTAACTTTGCTCCCACTTCATATCTCGATGACACATGCCACTCAACTTCCTAACACAAATAATCAATTAAGAAAAGTCTAACAACCAGAACCAACACCCCCCCAACCCCAAGCAAACCCCCCCCTCCCCCCCTCTTTCCTTCTCTCCTCCCTCCCTCTTTCCTTCTCTCCTCCTTTGTGTGTGTGTATATTTGTGTGCAAAATGGTGAGAAATAAAATAATTCATAATTAAAAGCTCACAAATGGGGTACTAAATGTTATCCAGCCATGAAAAAGAAAAAAATGTAGATGTGGAGGGAAGGGGTGACGCAAACACAAGGCATTATCCATTACGATGATGCATCATATGTCAAAAACTTCTTAAATGAGCTAAGAAGGGGAAACACGATATTGCTTATAGCAATCACTATGCCCTATAATATTCTAAACTTTTTCATGCTATGATAGATCATTTAAGTATTACAACCTTTGATGCTGAATGTCTTGTTAGCTGAATAGATATAGTTGAATGAGTAGTCTTTTATTGGATAAAGCAGTACAATTTTTATTAGAAAAAGTCGTGCTTGGTTAAAAAAAGGAAAGGAAAAACTCCATTCATCCAATTATTTGACTACTTGGTTAAAAAGGGAGGGGGAAAAAAAGTGGATAAGTGGCTAATTTGAGACAAGAAAAACAAATACATCAGCTCCTACACATGTTAACTCTAAAGTGTTGCCTCAGCATCAACAAGAACAAATACGTTCTTGATTAAGTCATTATGGATATAGTGACAATTCAATAAGTATCACTACCATCAAACTAAGAAGTGAAGATATCAATGAATGATAGGATCTTGAAACAGAAAGGCGCATATAAATGGTAAAAAATAAAACCTAAGATAATGGCATAAGCTTCAAAAAATTTAACCCTTAAATAATCAAGGTAGAAATATCCCTGAGACATTTCATAAAAATGTAAAATATAAAGGGTCCATGATATGGAAGCTACTGATACGAAACAGGCCCAATAAGTCCACAGGAACTGAAAAACAATTAAAGGGGAAAAAAAACTTCATCTCCAAAGAACGATGAGAGTAAACAGATAGTTTCTAATGGCCAGCACTTATACTGTAGAAAGGAGCATTTGATCTCTGCCTAAAAAATGCTAAAGGTTCTATCTACCACTATAGCTTGGCGAAAAGACAATTAAAGTGTCAGATAGCACACTGAAGAACAAACCTGTCGCAAACAAATAAATAACAGAGTTAACAATGAACTAAAGATACAACAAAGCAAAGGAAGTATTCGCCAAGCTTAATCTTATTCATTCGAAAGATACATAGATAATGCAAGCTAAAAGATACATAGTTGATGCAACCTAAAAGATACATAGATGTTGCAAGCTAAAAGATAAATGATGCTGCGAGCTAAAAGATGCATAGATGATGCAAGCTAAAAGATACATAACTAATGCAAGTTAAACTGCTAATAGATTTGTACCGTTACCAAGAAAGGAAGTAGGGCTTACCTCAGTGCATCATGTCCCAAAGACACTGCACTGCACTACATGCAAAATGCACCAATGCCTTAAAAGATGAGTTAGTTACAGATAGGAAGCTTCCCAGTCCATTCATCAGCCACCCCATAATCAAGACTAACCTCCCTCAAAGGAGGAATATTCTCCATCGCGAACAGCATCAGGTGAGGGAACAAGAAATTGTTGTGATCATAGAGCACAAACTGCACCATAACATTAGGACTTGAACTGTGGCTCATGTAACAAGCAACATTCCTCATCCTCGACACATCCATTGCAAAATCCAGTGGAGGAATAGAGGGATATGCTGGACGGACATAATCAGAAAATATGTTTGATAAATCGCCCCATTCTGCCCACCTCTCAGTAAATCGATTTGGATAGATCAAACTATCACCATTCATTGTAAAAACTTGTGCCTGCTCCCTTGTGAGAACAACTCCAGCATATTCACATATAAAAGCACCAGCTTGAATCAACTCCAATGACCTAACTCCCCAGCCGGTCTCCCTCGACCTAAACACTTCGAATCTATTCTTCACCCCTTTTTGGCTCACACGATTCCGGCAGGTTGGTGGACAACGACAATGGGGCCCGCATTCAAATATCAACGGTTTCCCCCTAATGAGAGTCCCATTATTGTCATAAGCAAACTCACCCCCATTTTTCAATGCACACGAGCAATCATCTATACATCCAGAAACACAATTACATCCATTGACCATGCCCGCGGGATGATATGCGTAAGGAGGGAAAACAGTAGTCACAAGATACTCATAGTACATGGGCTCATGATCATTATCTATATCATTAAACAGAGTAATTGGGATTCTCTCCTTCTTCATCGAAATATCAAAACTAACATAACCCATTGGTCTAGCAGTCAATGGGCTATTTCTAAGATTCATAGCAAACCTGAGGATCACGCTGCCCATTTCAGGTTGATTCTCTATCCTTGAAAGCTTAAACTTGTACACCCCAAAACCAGACTTGCCCACATCAAACCATGTGTCAACGATTTTATATAATCCATCATAAACATAAACCTTACCACTAGCACTCCCCTGATATTTAAACCCACGAATTACCCTCACCTCAATGCCATAATGCATGCTCCGCTCCAATGCAAGGTTTCCACCTTCCAATTTCTGATTGTTGCATTGCCTCGAATGCTTGTCCTGTCCGCCATGGCCCGTATATATGATAACATCCCCACTATCTTCATCATCCTCATACCCACCAGAAACAACTATGCTCGTCGCAATTGGCTCCCCGTTCGAGCTCTGACTCGCCGGCACGTAGTCGATTCCGGCCTGAGCTTGACCATGCATTCCAACAACACACAATTCCATTCGGAAGAAGAACAGATCGCCAATGTAGACCCCCGGGATCGACCCGACAATTCGTTTATCACGATTCAGCCACAACCCACGCTCCTTCAGCACCGCCGCTGACCTCAAATCCGCCCGCGACCGCCTCCCTGCCCCGATACCAAGCCGCTTCTCCTCCTCTGCCATCCAGAATACCCGCAGAGAGTCGTACACCATCCTCGTCCTCCTCACGATGTCACGAAAGTACCTCTGGTCCTCAATTCCAAGATCTGTAACCCTAACCAACTCTGCAGAGCGTTTCTTTCTGGCACTTGGCGTCACGACGATTGTGGAGAGCCGATTCTCCTCTGGCACCGGAACGATAGCCAGAGAATTCGGATCTAACACGTTGCCATCGCCGTACTTCTGCAACTCCTGAGCGAAAGCGGACTGAAAAAGCTCAGTAATTCTGTGATACTCTGAGTAAACATTGCTTTCCTCAGAGGATTGATGTGGGATCCGAGTGAGAGCGTTCAACCCCAAGTCCGGCTCTGAGAATTCTGGCGTGTTCTGTTGAGAATTGAAGGGAAAACTAGGGTTAGGGTTTTGAAAGACTGGTGATTGGTGGAGTTCGCTTTCGTCAAGTGGCTCAAGCTTGGGTTCGATCTTAGGGACGATGGCGGTGGAGGTGGTGGCGGTAGGATTGGCGGAGGAGGAGGAGGCGTGCTCAGAGTTGAGGTTGAGGTCAAGGTCTAGAAATGGGATTAAGCCCATTTTTAGAGAGAGAAACAGACACTTCTAAAGACAGAGATATAGAAACAGAGAAATGGAGGTTTTTGGTTATGGAAGGTTTTGCGGAGAATTTGAAGGACTTGGCATTGGTGGAAGATTTAGGAGAAAAATCTAGAGAGGTGAGAAGTGTGTATGTACAAGTAAGCAAATTCAGTTTAATGTCAGAAGTTATAAAATGATGAAATCAGAACTGGGATGTATGTAATTAGTTAGTTGACGGAATTACCCTTCACTTCAGTTGAGAGTTTAAATCTCAAGGCATTGTAACAGTAACACGGTTACGTCATCACTGACCATGGACCAGCGAGAGAATTAGCTGATTTTCAAATATTATAATTTTTCGTTAGTTGGAAAAAGCATTTATTTATTTATTTATTTTTTATTCTGACACAATTTTAATATTACTAGATCTGGCTTAAAAAAAATGGTCCAAATAGATAAAGTGAAAATTTGTTTAAAATTCTGGATCTCATATATTGTGTCTTAGGCGGAGTTTTCATATTGGTAATATTTGTAAAGCATAAAAAAATAATAATAAAAGAAGAAGTCATAAATTTTGACTTTTGGATGACTTTAATAGTTTATTGTTACCAATACATTTGTCAATGGATGGATTTTGATTCAAATTAGATGCAATCCTTGAGATATAAATTAAGTTTTTATGATTAGTATTCACATATAACTTCGATATTGTTATTATGTATAACTTTTACATGTTATCAAACTATTTTTATTATCATTTTCTCTTCTTCTTTGCTCTCTTTATCTTTTCTTATTCTTGAATATTTTTTTTAACAAAAAGTTAAAAAAAATTATTAATAATAATAATACTAAGGATGTGTTTTCTTTAATTTGTCAATAAAAAAAAAAAAAAAAAAACACTAATTTTCTTTTCCTTTTTCTTTTAGTATTTTATTAGCCTTCAATTTTTTCTCTTTTTATTTTAATAATCACTGTTTGCCAATATATTAATTTCTTGGGCAAAGTACAATCACACCCCTTGAGGTTTGCCAAAAGGACATTCAGAGAAAATTTACCTATTTTTCGGACAAAGACACTCCCTGAAGGTTCAAAATTTAACAAAGACACCCCTTTACATGAAAATTGACCAAATTACCCTTTGACCGTTTAAGAGACTTTTTTAACTTTACAATTTAATAAATTGGACCAATCTACCCTCATGAATAATTTATGCATAGGAAAAGTAAAAAAAAAAAACTATATATTGTTCACTTTTTTTTTTTTTTTTTTTTTGGTTATTTACTTTATAAATGTCCCAACTTCTTAAAAATGTAGACATCTAAAATGATTTTTTGATTCAATACATATATTTCAAATAAATTATATTTTGTTATTACTTCTTTTCTTTTTCTTTTTCTTTTTTTAAATTAAGATGCTTAATTCTTTCATCTAAAAAAATTAAACCAATCTCTTTTCTTTAAAAATAAAAAATATGGTACCAGTATAACTTTATGCATCTTAACTTTATGCACGCTTTCTTTTCTTTTCTGTTTTTTTTCTTCCCCCTTTGTTTTATTATTATTTTTTTCCCTTTTATGTTGAGAAATGTATAATATTTGATATATAATTTAAGATGCATAAAGTTATATTGATACCATATTTTTTCTTTTTAAGGAAAAGAAGTTGGTTTAATTTTTTTAGATGAAAGAATTAAGTATCTTAATTTAAAAAGAAAAAAGAAAAAGAAAAAGAAAAGAAGTAATAACAAAATATAATTTACTTGAAATATATGTATTGGATCAAAAAATCGTTTTAGACGTATACATTTTTAAGAAGTTGGGACATTTATAAAGTAAATAACAAAAAAAAAAACTTCTTTTTTTTAATGCATAAATTGTTCATGAGGGTATATTGGTCTAATTTATTAAATTATAAAGTTAAAAAAGTCTCCTAAACGGTCAAAGAGTAATTTGGTCAATTTTTCATATAAAGGGGTGTCTTTGTCCATTTTTGAACCTTCAGGGAGTGTCTTTGTCCAAAAAACCGGTAAGTTTCCTCTGGAGTGTCCTTTTGCCAAACCTCAAGTGGTGTGACTGTACTTTACCCTAATTTCTTTTACCAAAACAAAAATGAAAGTCACTCAAATCAATAAAATAGCCTCATTGGATTCAAATCGGATTAATTTGAATCTAATTTATTTATAGGTCTAATTATCAATGCTAATTCTTATTTTTCCTTCTAATATTATAAATTTTTAACATAACAATTGGAGAATAATGTAACTTCTTAATTTCTTTTCCCTCTTATTTACTTTTTTTTTTTTTTTCCTTGGGTAAAGCTCTTATTTACTTTGTTCGAGGTTTAGATCACAAAAGTAGGTATGTAAACATTTGGCTCAAGAAAAATAAATAAATAAATAAAGAAATTTTGGTTTCATTTTTTTAATTATTTCAAATGGTTTTGTAAAACTCTATGAAAATAAAAACTACAAAGCACAATTTATAGCATTTTATTCTATTTTTATAAAATAACTTCTGTAAATATATATATATATTTTTTCTGATACATAACTGTAAATATTATTCACTTCATATCGTGATGCCATATCGTGATGCCACAGTATGTCACCATGTCCAGTGATCTACATGTGGACCCCAGGTCTTGTAAACTTGAATCATCTCCCTCATGAATGTCAAAACTTAAACATGCATCATGGTACCTGTGTTCCCATTATTACTTTTATCTTTTTTTTGAAACAAATGCTAATATTAATAAAAGTTAATATCTAGGTCTTATCAAATTAAAATAATTTTGATTATTGATGATATAAAACAATTTAAGTCCCGCTTCTAGTCATTATAATTATAATTATATTATTTTGACAAATAAACATATGTCTAACTATCATGACTCAATTAATAAAGAATAATGGTAATGGTGGGTTGTATTAAAGTCTCTCATTCAACCATATAATTTTTCATTCCCATGCATTATGGCAGCTGTGAAGCTTGTTGATGTGGATCCCATTATTACTTTTATCATTTTCAAAAAATGGTAATAAAATTAATAATGAATTTTGTTAATGGCCGATGCCATCATGGTTTTTAAGTTTGACTTAGAAATAATCAACGACCACTAACCCAATAATGTAGTTTGTCATACTGGGAGAGGGAGTTTTGCAATTGAGTTTATTAAAAAATATATATATACATTTAAAAAAATCATTGATAAATGCATAACTAAACACACTTCTTTTTTTCTTTTTTAAACACACTTTTTTCTTTTTCTTTTTCTTTTTTTTTTACATATTTTTATAAGGAGTGGGTTTTTTACTTTTTAGAGGGATATAATCCTATATTGGATGCTAATGAAAAAAAGACTTAAGTTAAAAGACAAATGAAAAAAAGACTTAAGTTAAAAAGCGTTCGATTCGTTATCAGTATTATCAAAGTGAGACTAAATCCTTATTCTGATGTTCGGAAAAGCCCTTAGGCATCTCTCACATAATTTATTTTTCATAAATTCTCTTATGTTTTATTACCATTTTATGAAAAAAAAAAAAAATGGATAAACAATAAAATTTTATTTTCACAAAAACTGTAAAAGAAAAAGAAAAATATGTGATACACGTGCTTATAAGGACATTTGTGTCATATAAAAAATTACAGTGCTCCCCAATAGAAGAGTGCTGTATTTTCCAATAGAATTTGAAGTCTACAACAATGTTAACAATGTTTGGTCGATTAACTAAGTTCTTCTGAATTATAATTAAAAGAAAATGGTTTTTTTCATTCTTTGGTAGAAAGTCACGGAAAAATTGTTATTTCAAAAAAAAATTATCATGGTTAAAAAATTCACGTTATTTGATGGAAGATACTCTTTTGAAAAATGATATGATTGTTAACTGTCCTCATTAAACCTTTAAAACTACATCCTATCTAAAGTGAAATTTTAATCACTCACTCACTAAAGACACCAACACACCAAGTTATGGCGACTTCTACCAAAATTAATATGTATAACTTGAAATGTGATATTCTAGAATGATTATATATTTTTTTACAGAGATATAATCCTTCTAGTAAAATTATGTTTTTTTTTTAAATAGATACCCATTCAAATTGAGGCACCTGTCCTCTAGGAATCCTCTAAGGATTTCAATTGCCCCCACTGAATAATAAATATTATTATTAAATTCCACTAATTTTTTTTTTTTTTTAAATCATATACCTATGAAATTTTTATGTTGGGATGAAATTATATAAAGAGAAAAAAAAAATCACCTCACACAACTTCTTGGTCTGTGTAATGTCCCGGTTTTTTTTTTCCCCCAATTTTTTTCGAATTTTTCTTTTATTTATTTTTTATGCCTCGTTTTGCTTGTCACACTGAGCTTGGGAGCCGTTTAGGTTAATTTCTTGAACCGAGAGTTTTTAGAAATGTATTTTTATTTAATTTAAGTCAATTGGAAGTGACATGATTATTTTTAGAAATTTTCAAAAGTCGGAATAATTTTCAGGCTCGAAAACCTCTCCCGGTTTTGCCATTTGCATTAAAAGGCATTATAGACATTTCACTCATATATACGTATACATGTATCTATATATTATAGGAGATATTTTGGGAATAAGCATGACATTGTAATAGAAAGAGGGGGTAATGTGGTAAGTTTGCTTAAAATTTGAATCCATCAAAATGTGACACATGACATCTTTTGTGACCATGGAACCAAATTGAAAGTTGACTAACACCCATCTTTTTCCCCTCATTCAACCAACCCCATTCTCTCTCTAAATTTTCTCCTTCTCTCTCTATATCTCTGTAAATCATATATTCCATTGCTTCAAGTTAAGATTTGAGAGGGTTTGGGTGAGTTTTTGAAGAAGGCAAAAAAGGGAAAATGGAAGAGTTTGGAGAGGGCTAACTTTTGACACCTATATTGCAAGAGGTTAGAGGAATTCAGAAATTGTGCATGCTTAGGGTTTGTTTTACGAGGCTTAAGGGAGTTCAAAGTTGGCGTTTTAGGCATCTTCTACTGAGCCTCCGTGGTCACCCCTTCCTTTAATATTTTTTAGGTCACGCCAAGAAGGTGGTCAATGACGTTCCTCCACAAGTATAGTCAAAAGTTGATCAAATCATCTTTTGTAATCTTATGTAATCTTATGTAACAATGCTTACTTTGAAGATGATCATTTTGTAATGGGACCA